GTCCTTGGGTTAGGGTTTTAGACCCCCTTGGTCATTAAGGAAAGACAAAAAGAACATTTTCTTACCCTAACAGAAGTCATTCTTTACCTCTTGTATTCCCAATGGCAAATTAGTCTGTTACGCAGAAGATTTCAGGTACAAAAACATTATCTTACTTTCCTCCTGTCTAAAATTCATGTCAGCTCATGACCATTGTCAGTTGTTTTTCAAGTTCTGATTGAAAAGCTGACCTGAACCTCTTTTGAGAATTGGATCAACTAGATATAGTCCAGCGTCTCCCTCCAGGTTGGAACTCATGTATCCAGCTGACCATACAGACTGACGGCACTCTTTATGTAGAAAACAGTCACTAAGGCCAATAATGAATGGTATGGGTGAAGGTGATGGCGCTCAGCTAGCAGCTCTGGTAACTCTGGTGGCTGTCACCTGTCTTGTCTCTCTCTAGCCCCATTTGTCCAGCCCACTCTAGTTTCCCAGGAGATGTGTGGCATCAAACAGCATAGCCCCCGGGGGATCCTGTGATTGCTCACCTCTTCCACCCAAAGGAACTGGCTTTCTTCTTTGTAAATATGACACAACGCCCATGACAGTCAAGGATTGTTAGAATTACAAAAAATGATAGGCCTTAAAGATAATTTCTAACTCCTACTGTAATGCGTTACAGAATTACAAGGAATGAAACAAACTCATTGCATCATTTGAACTGGATGCTTCCAGCCCACCCAAGTAACCAAAGAACAGGGTGGCTGTGTAAATCGGGAGTGAAAACCTGATGGTTATTAAGCCCATCACAGCTCCTTTGGGCTTGTCTTACAGGAGTGCTTACAGGAGAGGTGGGCTGCACAGAAACTCAGGGAGGGAGAAAGAGTAGCCTTTTAAAGGAACCAAGAAATTTCTTCAAAAAATATCAGAATATCTGAAACCAGATAGCCGGTTTCCTTACTGGGAGGCAGTTCCTGCCTGACAAAGAGGAAGTTTGACAGGAAGAAAAGTTCCCTCTGGAACGGAAGCCAGCTTGCTGAACATAGCGGACAGCACAGAAAGACTGGGAGGGACTGCAGACGTGTGGCATTAGGTGTCAGCCAGCTGGCCCAGGACGGACAGGTCTGTGTGTGGAGTCCCAAGGTGAGAAGCCTACTTAAATAAATTTTAAATACTGCTCCGCATTTACTAGGGTGCTCACTAAGTCAGCACCCACATCAAGGTAAGGTCTCAACTGACCTTCAGATGACCCCAGACTTTCTTGCTGGGCAGCATTTGCCTTGTGTTGATAAGAGCGAGGCCACAAGCCCTGACTGTGAATGGGTGATATGCTGAGTGTTATTGGAAAAAAACAGCAGCCACATTAAGATTGATGACTAATCACCACCTAAAGTCTTCCCCATCACAGACCCCATGAATAGTCCTATTACAGTGATAGAAGCGGCATTGCATCATCAGTCTGCCCTTTCTGAAGCACTTCCGCACACATACCTCCTAGCCCTACATGGGCGGGAGACTGGCAGCAGGGTGTATGGCTGGCGGGTCATCTTTTTCAGTCAATTCTGAAAAGTACTTTGCTGTGTGAGTGTAGGTGAGACACAGAAAAGAGTGTGGAGTTGAACTGGAGGTGTAGTTCTTCCTTCGGGTGAAAAATTTTATTCCGTTTTTTACACCCTAAACTTTCAAAATTTAAAGTGAAGATGAGACAATGAGAGCTTTGAGACTACGAAGCATACGCGTATTAAATAAGCACATGGGAAAAACAGGCCCAAATCAGAATATCTTTTACAGGATGACATTCGATAGGACGTAGGAAAAAAACAGGTGGGATTCATTGGCATCTGTTACGAAATTGTATTCAGAAGATAGAAATGCAGACCTTGGGCACCTGCTGTCAGTTTGCAGTTTGCAAATAAGTAGATTGTGGACATTTAGGATCATGGAATGTTGGGATTTAGAGGTGATAATAGTCTGAGATTCTTCCATGTTGAGGCTGGAAAAACGGGTTAGGAGAGGATGTGCTTGCTCAGGCTCCCACTGGCACCCACAGTCGGTGCCCTTGTTCTCCTGTACAGCTGCAGGAAGCACAGGATTGAGCCCAGCCCCATGGTATCTGGTTGGAGTAAGCGTTCCCTCTCCTGGGTTTTGGATAAAACTTGGTGATCTAAATCTAGCTCTTACCAAAAGGGCTGTGGCTCTGGCATGTGCGCAGATTTGGGGATACGAAAGGGAGGCACTGAGAAGTCTGGGAGCAGTCTTTTCATCTCCACCTACAGTAAGAATTCATTTAATTTCCATCATGACCCAGTACAGGATACAGACACACCTGAGACCGGAGTTGCATGAAATTGTACCCTCTTTAAATGCAATGCATTCTAATAATTTCTATTCTATTTCATGAAGTAAAAAATGCTGGCCACAGCTCCATAATGACAACCTGTAGTTAGAAAAGCACTGGAAAGAAGCAAGAGTTTGGTGAAATGTCAGCAGTGCCCTGTTCAGAGGTTTTTGCATGAAAATGCTATGTCTTCACATGATGAAACCAGCAGACTGTGCCCCCTAGAGAAGGGCCACGAGGAAGGCAGAGATGGGCAAGCAGCAGGGTGGGTTCCTGAGCCTTTGAGGCCAGTGGGCTGAATGCTGGCCGTGGCTGCCAGCTGGCCTGGGGGCTGCCCTGCACCTCGGTTTCCTCTACTGTGTAATTGGGGCTAGTCACAGCTTCCTCAAGGGCAGCTGGTTAGACACATACGGGAAGAGGCTGGCATATAGTGAGCATTTCCTCTTAAAGGGTGCCTGTCATTTTTATTAGCATGGATCCAATACCCAGACACAACTTCTTGCAGTGTGGTCTTGCGGGGCTTAGGGACTTGGGTGGTTCCTTGCTCGTACCCTTCCATGTGCGCCACCTGCCTTCATGCTCCCGGTTGATCAGGTCTGTTCTGCTCATTGGAGATCCTGGCCCAAGGGCAGCCATTGGTCTCCCAGGAGGCATTCCTTTTGTGATGCTCCTTGTAACTACCAGCCACAGATCCCCCAAAATGACACCTCAGGAGGAAAAACCCCCTTCATTGCTGCCACCGTCACAGATTCGACCCTTCCAGTGCTCTTGTCCCTCGGGCTGACCTGTTTCTTCATTTTAGCTGCTTTCTGATTGTTGTTTAAAGGTCCGCCCGCCAAAGGGAACTGACTTTTCAATAATCATTTTTCTGTTCTGTTCCAATGATGTCTTTTCCCAACCGTTGCTGTATCTCCGTCCTGTTCTTAGCAGCTTGGGGGAAGATGACAGATGGCCCCCTTGGGCCTGGTATGGTCTCTGGGTCACCTCCGTCCTGCTCACTGGGCCACCTGCCCCCCTGCCTGCCACAGCCCTGGGGTCAGTGGCTGGCGGGAGTTCTGCTGTGCCTCCTGGTTGATTGATGATGGAGCCCGGGAGGTAGCGGATGTCCCTGACTAGGAAGGGGTCGCAGAGCTCAGGAAGTGTGGTACCTGCCCTTCCGCTGTCTTAACTACCAGGTCTGAAGACTCCAACTGGAAAAAATCAGTAAAGCCCAGGAGGAAACGGGGGTCTGGAAAGCTGCCAGTAATGCAGGAGTACCCTCAGTAGGTGTCCCCAAAGGAAACCTTCACTATGTGTCTATCTGTGGCCAGGCGCTGAGCACTGGCTGTTCCAGTCAGTCCTGGAAGGACTCCAGGAGTGGATGTTTCATCACATTTTTACAGATGAGGAAGAAGCTCAGAGAGGTTCAGTGATGGCCCCAGGCGGCACAGTTGATGATTCAACCCAGACCTGTGGGTCTGACTGCAAAGGCTGGTGCCCTGGCTTGTACCTTTCTCAGCAATGGAAAGAACATTCTTTCAACCTCTCTGAGGCTCCTCCTCCTCCTGCTGTCCTCAGGGGTGATCTTCCTCTGTGACCTTGGAGCCTGGCTGCTATTCCTGTGACGTCGCCATTAACTTTTGGGTGTGTACCGCTCTTCTGCCCGTTTGGAGGGCACCATCCATACCTTACAGTTCTTTGGGGGGAAAAATGTGTTTTAATAGCTCATTATGCAATAAACACAGATTATTTTATTTTGAAAATGTCAAGTTTTATAGAAGGATACCAAGTAACACGCGATGGCTTTTCATATAGGTGTTCAACAACCGTCTGTTGGTTCATCCATTTCCCCTTCTACTTTGTCCAAAGTGGAGCATTGACAAAGTTTCCCATCCCAGAGGATTTCAGCTAAAGATGCTTGCTGGCTGTTCTCCCCACTCTATTTACTGAATTTGGGGCAGCAATGTGGGCAGCTTTAGAACGAAAGAGGGGACAGACAGATGGGGGTGATAATGGGAGGCAGGGGTGCTTCTGTGATGAGATGACCACTAAGGCCACCAGCACATCCGAAGCTGGCAGTGTGGGTCCCTCAGCAGGTTTTCCATCCAGGGAGGCTGGTCATTATGACTCAGCAGGAGCACAGGCCTGTGACCAGAGAGAGATCCATTTATATCCTGACGAGGGAGGGAGTGGAGAGGAACAGAGAAGCCTCCCCTCAGAGAGGAAGAAGTGTTTGCCCTGTTTCTGTAAGCCTGATGATGTGGCAAAGATTCATTTCCCTTCTCCTCCGAAGCAGTCTCCAGGGTTAGGATTCTAGGCAAGAAATTGACTAGCCATCACATGTCTGAAAGGTGACTTGTGAACGTTATAGGAAAGTGGCACCATATCGCTTAGTCATAAAGATTTAAAGGTGCTAGCTACATAGGTGACTCACTTGAACGGGTCTGTTATATAGGCCCAGCTGAATGCATGCATGCATGAATGAATGAATAATTTTTAAGTATGTGGGTTTTTAAAACATTTAGGTATAATTGACATGTACCATTATATTAGTTTGAGGTGTATAGCATAATGATTTGATATATGTATATATTGCAAAATGATCACAATAAGTCTAGTTAACATCTGTCCCCATACCTGGTTAAAAAAATATTCTTTTTTTTTTGCGACGAGAACTTTTAAGATCTCTCCTAGGAACTTTCAAGTGTTATGGTGTTGTGAACTATAGTTACTAGTTGTACATAACATCCCCAGGACTTATAACTGGAGGTTTTGACCCCTTCACCTACTGAATTGACTTAACGATCCATCTTTGGTCCTATAGAAGCTGCAAAGTAAAAATACAAGCAGGGCCAAACACTCAGATTACCCTCAGAGCAATATCCCCGAGATCACGAGAAAATCAGAGACACAGGCTGAGCATTTCTCTTCTCTGAGTGTTCCTCTGCCTAGCCGGCGCCTTTCTGCTTGGCACTCACACTATTCCAGATAAGTTTACCTCTTTTTCCTTAAAAGGCCTCTCTTCCCCAGAAGATGATCCCAAAGATAACCACTCCAGGGCTTAGCAACTCTCAGGTCAGGAAATCCTCCCTTGCCCCAAACCTGTATGGAGCAAGAGGGATTTATTTAGATTTAAGCCCATTTCCTCTCATTTTGGCCCCTTGTTGATGCAACAGCTGTTCACGAGGCTGTGCAATTGGCATCTGTTCCGATGCTGAGATCCAGAGGGGCTGGTGCCAGGGTAATTTTTGTCTTCTCCCCCACACTGGAGAACCTCTCCAAAGGAACCGCTAGTTGGGATGACAGACATCTTTGCAGGTCCTAGGGCCCAGCTAGCTGCAGGCTGCTTAGTGCTCATGGAGACCCACGGTGGCCATTCCTTCTTTTACGCCTTGTCATCGCCCTAAGGAGCGCCTCTGGAAATAGTCCCTTCTGCATACCCCCATGCGAGTCTTCCTCTGTTTATCTGCGTCCCAAACCAAAGTCTTGTGCATAAAGCTTTCCTTCCAGGCTTCAGGACATAGTCCTGGCCCAATTTGGACTCTGCATCTGTGAAAAAGGCTCCGTAGCCTTATGTCTGGGCCCACAGCGCCACCCAGTGGCCAATGTACATTCAGCCAGCCCTGGTTTCCCAGCAGCCGCTCCTCAGGTTAGGGTAGGATTCAAGTGTTTTCTGGTTTCCTGCTGGCTTAGTGACCCCGTCAACCTGAACTTCTTTCTCCTTTACAGGTGGCTATGAGAGGTTTTCCTCCGAGTACCCAGAATTCTGTTCCAAAACCAAGGCCCTGGCAGCCATCCCGCCCGCTGTGCCCCCGAGCACGGTGGAGTCTTTGGACATGGGCTGCAGCTCCTGTGGAACTCCACTGCACGACCAGGTGTGTGGAGGGGCTTTATGCAGAGGCTTTGGACGCAGTGCCTCAATTTGGGGAGAATTTGGTGAACCCTGATACTGGGCTGGAATGTAAGGTAGGCTAGGAATAAATTGTTTCTTCCTCGGAGCCCTTCTCCTTCCCTCACTTATTACACGCACTTAGACATCACTTCCTGATTAGCCTCTAGAGTCATGGGCAGACAAAGGAGGGGACCTGCTGAAGCTAGAAGTGTGTGACCTTCCCTGAAGGAGTGGCCTGTGGACCCCAACCCCTGGCCCCAGAACAGTCAGGCTGTCCCCATTACGAGCCAACTGTAAATGCCAAATGGACATAAATGGTCAGCCAACCCTCTCCTAAGAAAACCCGTTTAAGCCACTGCATTTCTTTTTTTTTTTTTTTTTTTAAAAAAAAATTTTTTTTTTAATTGGGGAATTGGGGGGATGGGAACAGTGCTGGGGAATTGGGGGAAGGGGGACAGACAAGTTGCTGTCACTTTGTTCTTCAGTCTAGTTGTGGAGGACGTTGCGTCACTGGCCCAAGTTGGCACCATCATTGCGCTCTTTCCGGGTGAGGCTCATCAGTCGCCGGCTTCTGGATGGCCGCTCACTGCGGCTGCTGGCCGCTCACGCTGGCTGCTGGCTACATACGGTAGCCCATGGCAACCCACTGCCACGGGCTGCAGCCTACGCCGTCGTTGGCGACTCCCGGCAGCCCAGCTCCAGGTTGAGCTGTTTGTTCAGCATCTTAGCTGTGGAGGGCAGTGTCACTGGCCCTCATAATGTGGGATCTGAACCGGGGTCCTCTGGCATCCCAAGCCAGTTCTTAACCATCGCTCCACTTGGCCGGCCCGCCACTGCATTTCTTACAAGCTCACCCCTTCTAGCCTTTTCATTTGGGTGGAGGGAGTTGAATTTATGGGCTCTGGCAACTCTGTTCCCCAAATCCCAGATCAGACTAGTTGATCTGACTCAGAAAATTGTCATTAAGCTAAGCTTACCTAATTTTGCCAAGATCCCTCCTGTCTGTGAGGCCGACATGGCATCTGTTTTTGATGCACCAAGTGAAGATTCATCCCACCAAGTTAAGTCCCTGAACCACATGACAAACGGCTTAGTGATTAGCAGGTGTAAACTCTTAATGTTACAGACAAGCGGTGCAGCAAACAGCATATGTCTGCCGTTCCATGTATCACAGGGGAGGTGGGTTGCTTGAACAAGGCTTTACCTGTCCTGGCTTCTCTGTCCACGGCAGAGTGGAGTGTAAAGGCTAGAGTCCCACTGAGCCCATCGTTCCCTCCAGGAACCCCAGCAGGATAAGAGGAAACCAGGAAGGACTGTGTCCATAGGCATTTCCCCCAGGGCCTGTGAAAAGCCCACCTCTCCTGTCCTAAGCTCCCCCACCCTGTGGCTGCTTGCCTCACACTCATGATGTTGGTGGTTTGTTTTCCTTCTCTGGTGTAGGGGGGCCCTGTGGAGATCCTCCCCTTCCTCTACCTCGGCAGTGCCTATCATGCTGCCCGGAGAGACATGCTGGACGCCCTGGGGATCACAGCTCTGTTGAACGTCTCCTCCGACTGCCCAAACCACTTTGAAGGACACTATCAGTACAAGTGCATCCCGGTGGAAGACAACCACAAAGCTGACATCAGCTCCTGGTTCATGGAAGCCATCGAGTACATCGGTAGGCTGGCCCTGGCTGGGCCCTGGGTCCCAGGCTGGGCGGGAGGGTGAGCGGGATTACTTGTAACTCGTGTGTTGAAGGAGGGACTTAGGAGGCCCGCACCCAGGATGTACCCATTTCCCCCCTTCTTCGGTAGGAAGCTTGCCTGTTGGATGGTGTGTTGGGTGGGAGCAGGAAGACTCCAGGGCTATTGGCCGGTAGAGCCAATAACCTTTTCCTTGTATGTCTCCAGATGTCTAGATAAGACTTAGGGGATGGGGAGAAAGACAAGGACAGGGAGAACTGGGTCATTGTTTTTGTTTCTGCAAATAGAAATCCTTGAGTGTATGTTGGGATTTAACTGGCTTTTAGCATGGGGTTTTCACCAAGTGTGGTGCATTGCATGGGTTTCGCTAAGTCTCAAAACACCCGTTCTTGGGTGGAATTCTACAGTCCCTCCCACATGGGTTTCTTTCCCCCTGCCCAGTTCATTATTCCTTCACCGAGAATGTCCTGTCCCCCCCCCAGTACCTCTCCAGTCCCCCCGCGCCCCCACGTCTGGCTTAGACCACCTGCCCTGGTGGTTGGGGGCAGGATCGGGACTGCAGGAGGAGGGCTCTCATGCTGTCGCCCTCTCTGCCCCAGATGCGGTGAAGGAGTGCCGCGGGCGCGTGCTGGTGCACTGCCAGGCGGGCATCTCGCGCTCGGCCACCATCTGCCTGGCCTACCTGATGATGAAGAAGCGGGTGAGGCTGGAGGAGGCCTTCGAGTTCGTCAAGCAGCGGCGGAGCATCATCTCGCCCAACTTCAGCTTCATGGGGCAGCTGCTGCAGTTCGAGTCGCAGGTGCTGGCCACGTCCTGCGCAGTGGAGGCCGCCAGCCCATCCGGGCCCCTGCGGGAGCGGGGCAAGGCCACCCCCACGCCCACGTCGCAGTTCGTCTTCAGCTTCCCGGTCTCGGTGGGCGTTCACGCGGCCCCCAGCAACCTGCCCTACCTGCACAGCCCCATCACCACCTCCCCCACCTGTTAGGGCTGCTTGGAGAACCCTCAAACCAGGGGCCTTCAGCAAGGGGTGGGGGGGGCCGCGAGGGGGGGCAGCGAGTCAGACTGACCAGTTGGGGGCGGGCGACCAAGCTCCTTCCCATCCATTTCTCCTTGGCCGACCACCGGGCCACAGAATGGCAATAAGGACTTTAAATACATATTAAAAGCAAACAAACAACCCCCCTCCAACTTAGAGCAATAACGGCTGCCTCCGCAGGCAGGGAAGACCTTGGTTTGGTTTGTGTGTCAGTTTTACTTTTCAGATAGGAATTTCTTACCTCATTTTTTTAAGCAGTAAGGCTTGAAGTTGTGAAACCCACAGGTCCTGGCAAAATGTGCCCACCCAGTTTTATTAGGGGGGGAGGGGGGTTAGGGAAAGGGACAAGAAGAAAACAAGTTTGCCAGAAGTGCCTGGTTCTGTGTGCTTGGCCCTGTTTTGTTGTTGTTGCTGTAAGTTACAGGATTTTTTTTTTTTTTTTAAAGAAATCTGTTAGGACATGGTTTTCCGTTCTAAGCCACCAACAAGTGAATAATTATGCGTAATAAAAGTATTTATTAAGAATTTTCTCAGAGTATGTAAGTGCAAGGAGTGTAGTGACAGTGACTTTAGAATATATTTATGTTGATGTTGAGTGGAGCACAATAGCATGCTGATGTCAAAGCTGTTAGGAAGCAAGGAAGCGGTACCTCGTAGGTTATGGCCGGGCTGGCTTCATCAACTTGTACTTGTTGCCCCAGAGAAGCAGGCAGGGTGGGGCGGGAGGAGGAAGACAGGCAGGGACTCCTTTTTACTCTCAAAGCTGGTTCCTGGCTACATGAACCCCTGAAGCTATTTTAAACCACAACCATACCACCTTCTCCCCCTGATGATCAGTAACTCAGTTTGGTGTGGTGGGGGCATTTTTCGCATAGGCCTGCCTGAAGACTTATATATCATCTGTGATAAATGCCATATCATTTTAGGTGCTCCTCAAAAATTGGGTGCAACTTAGATTTCTCCTACAGGGAACCATTTGGCAAGGCCAGTGCGGGGAAACCAGCTAACTAGAGACAGACCTGAAATGAATCCTTTTGTAAGTGGAAGCACCATCTTTTCTCTTTTGCATAAATTGGCGTTTTTAATTTCGGGGGGTTTACTTGGAATGAAGTACACCGACAAATTCTAGTGTTCTTCAAATTCTTGGCTTAGGTGAATATTTTTGAAGGCTCTGTTTTGAATAAAAAGAGGGGAGTGTACACCACATTTCAGGCCTCCTTGAAGTCTGGAATGGCGAGAGTGCTTGAGCGAGGGGTCAGGGTAGACTCTTTGCCTGGGAGCGGGAGCTGGCTGCTGGGCTTCTGCGACAGGCATCATGGGTACTCGGGTGCCATTTTGAAATCCTTTCTCGGGATAATGCCATTTTAAGGGGTCTTTCCAAATGGAGGAATGGCTTTTGGAGGAAGAAGGATGTTTTCTGTGGGTTGGGCTTGGGGGGAGGGTGAAGGGAACAAACTCCGTGTTATTTCATTTGTAATAGTGTGGAACAGTGTTGTTATGGAGTGCCAGATTAGAGGTAATTGCAAATTTGTCTAGAAATGAGAGCATTTTTTTGTTTTGTTTGTTTTAGCCCTTTGAGAGTCTTAAGTCTAAATGAACAGTCATGCTCAGCCATAAATAACTTGCAGCCTCAATGTAAGAATAGTGTTGGAAAGCTCTTTCTCATCCTGGCAATCCAGGCAGGACCTGGTGCATTACATTTCCTTCCAGAAACACGAACCTATGTCGGCACCATTCATTCGTCCTGGCTTTGTCAAGCCCTGTCTTTGGGTGATGCCATAGTTCTCACTTCCTGTTTTTAGGAAAGCCTAACGCTCCCTTCTCCCCCAGGAGCTGCTTGGCTGAATAGTTAGGAGTGAGGCATGGAGGGACTGCAGTTCCTGGACACTGGAACTCTATTTAGAGACAGCACAGTTGGGCATTGCCACCTTTTCCTTGATCCTTGGAAAGTTGCTTCATGCTTTGTAATGAATGAGGTCAGGCGGGTTCTGCAGCTGAGAAAGCTATGGGTTTTAAGAGCAGATAGGCCTGAGAAGAGGGGCTGCTTGAGGGGAAGGGAGAGTAGCTTGGAACAGTCACTTATTCTAGAACGAGTGAATGTACATTGCCAAAACCTTTGTATCCTGCTTTCCCAGAATGAATTCCAACCACACGGACAGTTGGAGCTCAGGACCAGCCCCAGGCATGTCTTCCTGGCTTTCTAATTCAAGTCTTTTAGCACAATGTCAAACTGCTATTTTATAAAGCCATTTCCTTTGTACTTGATAACAGCGTTGAGTCCCAAAATGTTTAGAAATAAAACAGGAAATTGGCTTGATTGGAAAAGGGGGTTTTTGGTGGTGGTTTGCCCATCAGAAGCCTCTTCAATGACTTGGAAAAGCTCTAAGGAAGACGTCAATTACAGGGTCAAATGGCCAGTGGGTTTCAATAGACATGCCTCCCATGAAGTGATTTCTGGTGATACGAAATTTCTTGAATGGCCAGAAAGTATTGCCACTTGCACTGATTCTCAACTGTGCTGTTGGCTACAAAAGGCAGTAGACTCATTGTATCTTCCATAGAGACCAGGGAATGCTGTTGGTTCCCTTTGGGAGGGAATCTTGTGTGACCCAAGCGTATTTGTGGAGCACTGAGGGAAATGGCCTTCACTTGCCCACTGAGCAGTATTAGGCTGACGTCACCGTGAGCAGGTGGCCTGGAGCTCCCAGCTTCAGTCATTCCCTCCTGAGGCCACTGCCCTCAGGTGCTCATTCCAGGTGGATTCCAGACAGTTTTCAACAAGGTTGGGAAGTCATGAGAAAAATTTTGAAATCCTTGGGAAGGTGGACAGAGGGAGGTAGGATGGTTGATTCAAATGCGAGGGGAAAGGGCTGTTAGATTGGAGGCTGTCCACCAAGCCCATAGTATTAAAGCGGTGGTTCACCTTGGTTGCCCATTAGCGTCAGTCGGGGAGCTTTGAAAATCCTGGTACCAGGCTGTCCGGGACCAATTAAACCAGGGTTTCTGGAGGAGGGACCCAGGCACCAGCATGTTTCAAAGCTCCCCAAGCCCTTTCCACGTGTAACCAAGTTTGGGAAGCTGCTTTCTGGATGGCAAGGTGCGATGGGAGGCTGCGTCTTACCCTTAGAGCTACTTTGTCTCACAGAAACCTCAGCCAGCGCGTATGTCACCGGCGCAGCATGGCCTTGCTGCCAGTCCCAGCTGGGCTGAGGGAGCTCAAGGAGCATGTGACCTGATTGGGGCACTGTTTCATGCTCCGAGCAAGTCAGCTGATCTGTGGAGCATTGTTAGGGAGCTGGATACAGTGTCTGCATGTTGTTTTTCCTTGAAAGTCTCCTTGTCTATGAAGAAGGATGGAGAGCGTCACCTCTTTGGAGATAGCCCTCCTCCCCCAAGAGCACAGGAGCAACCTGTCCCTCCTTAGAGCTGATGAGTCACACCAGGAAGAGGCTTCTTCAAGACAGAGCAATGCAATACATGTAACTTCTGTACATAGCCCCACCTTTCAGAGTGATGTCATTTCTACATTTGATATGCTTGTATTTCTGTAGGATGTATATAGTTTAGGGGATTTTTTTTGTTTGGTTTTGTTTTTTAGAAAAAGTCAACACATCTGTTTTTATTTATTGCTTGAAAAAGATCATTTGACGAAAAATAAATACATTTTCAACCACTTCTGGCTTAGTGTTTATCCTTTCCTTGAAAACTGCGCTGCTCTGATGACTTGGAAGGGGAGGGAAGATTTGGGTCATTTAATAATCTTGTGCACTTGGGAATATCTGCAAGTGGACACTGGCTCGTAAAGTCCGTGAGCCCATTTTTGCTCCCTGAACCCCACTCAAAGATGGGGACAGAAGGCTGATAGCACGACAAGAATTGAATGATAAGAGATGGAGTGTCCGCCACCTGAGAGTCGACTCTGTTCCCAGGATGCAGCGCTCAGGATGGCTCCTAAGCGGGAGTCGGTCTTCAGCAGTCTGGGCCCCAGTGATCAGGCTGTAAGGAGTGGAAGGATTCACCACTGCTGGGACGCCCTTCCCCATGGATAACATTGTTCCCAAGCTGATTGCATCACCACTTTGGTGGTGCTTGGACAACTCTTAAATTTAGTAAATTCACTAAAAAGATCACTGAATTGTACCCTTACAATGGGTCCATTTTATGGTCTGTAAATTATACTCCAATAAAGCTGTTTGATGATGAATATATGAAAATATGCTGACGGCCAACAAATTCAAATAACACAAATAACGAGTAAAAAGTGAAAGTTCCTCCTCCATACCCCCTCTCTACATCTCCCATCTTTCAATATCAGTAACCCAAATGAGAAATTTGGTGTAATTACTTTGAGACTTTTATTTATGCGTTTTGTAAATCTTTGTGTTTGTCTGGATAATATTTGAGACATTAGCCAGGATCTTTTCCCTTGGTGTTCCCTGTTCCTTCTGCCCTCCCCTCCATTTGATCAGCTATTTACTGCTCCAAGTGAGGCACTGGAGCACACAGAAAATAATTGCATCCTTGTCTCCTGAGTTGCAGAGGCACAAAGCAATGGAATTGGGAAAAGGTGTGTTTGCTCAGTCATTGCCTGCTGCCCTAGGCAATGGGGCACACACATGACTCTGTCGCCTGATTTTTCATTTCACAGTACACGCTGGAGATGCCCCTGATCTGGACACACAGTTCTGTTTCACCCTATTTAATAGTTGCATAATATTCAATATGGACAAATTATTTAAATAGCATGTAATTTCACTAAAGAGTGGTATAGGGGAGGGAGTGTTTCTAACTTCCAAGTGGCTAGACTTTTTTTTTAGTATGTGACTTTACAGTTTCATTGCAGTGTGGTCAAAGAAATGTGGCATGTCTGATGTTTACTTTTGCAGTTGGAGGATTTATTGTGGTTGAGTTCAAGTCAATTATTGTAAATGTTTCAAGGACATTTGAAAAGAATGTACATTCTCTGTTTTGGGGGACAAAGTTTTATGTATTTGTTAATATCAAGTTAGTTAAATGACATTCAGTACCCTTTTTATTTTTGTCTTTATCAGTTTCCTAGAGGAACATATTAAAAATAGGAGGAGGATTTGACAAAGTAGTGGAAGATTTTAAGTTTTTGTTTTATGTTTGAACTTCGCATCACATGTACAAAGAGTGGGGACTGTTATGGCTGCTTGTGGCTCGTAGGTGATGTTTCTCTTTGTTCCATGTAATGTTCCATTCTACTTTGTCTGGAATCAATAATACCATTTCGACATTCCTTTAGTTACCACTTGCCTGGTGTTTTCTTATGTCTCCTCCTCTTCATGTTAACAGTTGGAGATTTATCTTTCAATCATAGAGAAAACTTGACTATTAGTTAAGGAATAGAAATATGACTACAGTATAGGTTGAATTCTGTAATTAGGCCAAAAGTTGATTCTGGATGTAACAATGTAACTGTTTATAACAATGTAACTGCATTTAGTATATAATCTATTTCTTTGAGTAGATAACAGCAAGAGGCAGCCAAGAGACATTTCCCTCAGTCCTTTTCATTTCTACCTTCCAAATGAAAAGATTCTCTTCCCACATCCTGAGTAAATGGGCAAAAATCACAAAGGCGCTAGCAGAATTGCACATTTATAGTTCTGTCGTCATCATCACAACTTTTTTCATTTTAAGATGACTGCTGTTCTTTAAGTTCCCAAACAGATTAAAGCAAATTCACCTGGAAATCACTCTTAAGTTTAGAGAGGCTTGAATTCCTGAGCCACATGATTTAAAAGTTATTCGTTTCAATTTTCCTTCCCACAGTAAAACAGCTTTATTGAAAAATCCAAACACATAAAAAATATTAGAAACCAAAAAAAAAGCTGAAATTATATAGCTCTGAAACAACTACCCTTAATAATCCATGACCATGTTTATATACATATATGTATGCGTGTATACATATATAAACATACATACACATGCTTTGATCTGTTTTATAGACAGAGTCATGATAGTTATATTTTCTTGTGGCTTATAGGTGATGTTTCTTTGTTCCATGTTTTAGATATAAAACTATATACATATAATACACAGTATTTTTCAAAAATGCTGGCTATATTGTTAAAGGGTACTATCTTGACTTCTTCCCTTCACAAGATCCTGCAAACAACCATTGTTAACAACCATGTGTCCTTCCATAGCTCTCCATGCCCAGTCATACAGTATAACATGTTATATGGTATTAAGTACATAGATCACATATCTATATGTATAACTACATATAGGGATTTTATTTGGTATTGTTTGCTCTATAAAAACAAGACCATACAATACATAATTTTCTACATCTTGCTTCCCTCAATCCAAGTCAATGATAAATGATATAATTCACTCCTAATATTTAAGACAATTTATTCACATAGATCAAAATTTTAAAAGTAAGTATATATAATAAAATGTCCCCTTCTCCTCAACTGTGTCGCCTTGATATCCAGTTTGCCATGTTTGCAAATGTTTCCAGATTTTTACGTATTTACCTGGAAGAGATATTCTATGCATTATAAATATATGAAGGTGTATGTATGTTTATGAATCCCCCCATCCCCCGCTTTTTTACCCACTTCCTAACATCTAGTTATAAAACTTCTAGGGTTTTGTCACTCTGATAGGTAACTTGTATTAACTTATTAACTTGTACTTCTTTTATTATGAGATTATTTTTCATATATTCAAAAATCATTTGTATTTTTTCTATTTACTGTGTGTGCATAACTTTTACCTTTTTTTATCTTATAGAATTTCAGGAACTCTCTTTATGAGAGATTAGTCCCTTGGTTATAGTAAGAATTGCAAACACATCCTCCAGTCTGTCATTTGTCTTTTGACTTTGCTTATATTTTTAAAACATGTTCGAGTCCCTGGCTTTCAATTCTATCCTGTCGTGAAGAATATTTAGACAGAGAACAAAGTTGCTCACCTGCAGGTGACTCCGCTGCTGTGAAGGGAACCTCGGTGCAGGGGACAAGGCCTCCTCCAGCTCACTGCTCTCTTCATAATTCTCCTGGGTGGCTCCAAGTCCAAAGTGGAGGAAACACAAAGAAGAATTGCTCTCCCTGTTTTTCCTAGTTTCAAATGAATTAAAAATACCAGGATACTTTATTATATGTTTGTGCTATTCACCTCCTTGAAGTCAAAGGCGTTAAGGTCAAAATTAGCTTTTTGCTAGTATTTCTTTGTGCATGTCTCTTCTCAGCTAAAAGAGGAAGTATCTGTGTATTTACGTTACTTGTCCATTTCTATCCATATCTTTTTAAAAAAGTCTTTATTTTTTTTATAGCAGTTTTTAGTTTCACAGCAAAATTGAACAGAAAGTATTCAGTTTTCAGAGATTTCTCATATACCCCCTCCCCCCCTCCCCACACATAGCATCCCCATTATCAACAGCCCCAGCAGACTGGTATGTTTGTTACGACTGATGAACCTACACTGACACATCATAATTACCCAAAGTCCATAGTTTACATTAGGGTTCATTCTTGGTGGTGTACATTCTATGGATTTTGGTAAATGTACAGTGACAGGTATTCACCATCACTGTATCATACAGAGTATCATCACTGCTCTAAAAGTCCTCTGTGCTCCCTCTCTTCACCACCCCCACTTTCCATCTAATCCCTCGCAGACACTGATCCTTTAACTGTCCCCATAGTTTTGCTTTTTCCAAAATGTCATACAGTTGGAAACATGGTATGTAGCCTTTTCAGGTTGGCTTCTTTCACTTAGTGACCTGCATTCAAGTTTCCTCCATGTCTTTTCATGGCTTGGTTTATTTTTTTTGATGCTGAATAATACTCCATTGTCTATATGCACCACAGGTTATTTATCCTTCACTTACTGAAGGGCATTTTGGTTCTTTCCAAGTTTTGGCAATTATGCATAAAGCTGCTATAAACATTTGTGTGGACATAGGTTTTCAACTCCTTTGGGTAAATACCAAGAAGTGTGCTTGCTGTATTGTATAGTAAAGATGAATAGACTTTACAAATCAGTCCCTGGCCTAGAAAAGTAATCATATTAACAATCATATTAACGGGGGCCGGCCAAGTGGCACATTTGTTAGGAGTTGGCTTGGGACACCAGCTCTGAGCAGCAGGGTCCTGGTTTGGTTCCCACATGAGGGCCAGTGACGCTGCACCCTCTACAGGTAAGATGGTGAACAACAGCTCAACCTGGAGCTGGGCTGCCGTGAGTTGCTGGCAACGGCGTAGGCTGCAGTGGGCTGCTGTAAAGCTACTGTGAGTGGCCGGCAGACAGCATAAGCGGCCAACAGCTGGTGTGAGCTGCCAAGAGCTGCTGTGAGCGGCTGTCCAGTGGCCGGCGACCAATCTGCCTCACCCGGGAAGAGCACAATGATAATACCAACATGGGCCAGTGAAGTGACATCCTCCCCAACTAGACTGAAGAAAAAGGACAGCAACTTGTCTGTTCCCCTCCCCAATTCCCCAATTTAAAAAAAAAAAAATCAAAAATCTAAGATTAAAAAAAAATATTAACAAAGTGAACATGTTACCTACATATTCTTACTTATGCAAAGGTGTTTTATTAGCACTATAGGACAGGTGGAATTGGGCAAAATGAAGACATACTTACCACCCCTTCCACTTCTGCTGTTTCTAAGTCCAGGTCTTCAGGGTAGATGCCAACCGAAAAACCTGGCAGCTCAGTCCCAACTTAATGGGACTAGATAACCTTTCATTATTCCCAGTATGGTGCCAGGTGCTCCTCCAGCTTGGAGGCCCACTTTACTGTCTTATGGCTATAAAATCACAAGGGAAAGTGAACTGTGCTGAATGATCACAAGTGCTATCAAATTGGTGTGCCCCCTCTAACCTGAGACACTGGCTCACGACCAAGGCACTCAGTGTAGACAATGTCATTCAACAACAGTTCTTCAAAATTTGCTGCCTAGGTAGCACCACTCCTTTATGTTGGTTTTCTAGCAAGTAATTTTTTGCAGAAATAAATCCAATCCAGCAAGTGCTTTGCAGCCCTCCCCCCGCTTCCCTTAGCCCCTGATCCACAGTGGTTTCAAGCTATACAAACAGGCCCTTGGAATCCTTCTGTATCAGTAACCAAACCAAGTTGCTGAAATGGCAAGTTATTTTACAGTCCACTTGCTTTTTGTGCACAGTTCAGATCATTTCTATTTTCTAACAGCAATAATCAAAGGGGAACACCTGAGTCCAGTGGCATTTAGAATCTCATCTTCTCATGAGATACTGATAGAAAACCACGTAGTAGTCACCTCACTGTTTTCATTCCTGCTTAAACACTCAAACTCCATATACAACCATTGTTTGGTATATATCGGTACCTATATGTCACCACGTTGAGTCTGTTTCTTCGTTTATAAAATGGGGATTAAAATACCTATTCTGCAGGGCTGTTGGGAAATGTACACAAAGTACCTGGTTCATCATATGTTCTTAATAACAGCTGTTATTTGCAGGGTTGTTAGAGCGCTTCCAAGTACTTAATTTTTATCTCCTTGTAACGCTGACCATCCTGCTGGCAAATAAATTACAGATAAAATTCTAGCTTCCAATGTGCTACCTAAAGAATCACTAGGCATGGATAAAGGTGAGGGGAAGAAAAAACCTATTTTCTTAGTCCTATGTGCCAGCACTGTGCTAGGCATTTAGTGTCACCACTGCACGAGCTAGGCATCTCGTCCCTCACCTCCAATGACAGGTGGAGGGAGTGAGTCTCTGAGCAAGAGAGGTTGGGCAGGGCCTCCAAGCTGGTGGCCCTGCTGTGAGGTCTGCCTTCAAGGAACCCGTGCTTCTCCTGCTGCTGCTGTACTTCAGTAACTCCTGTGTGCGCTTAGAGGTGAGGACAAGGCACATCCAATACAGATCACACTAGGACGGGAGGAGTAGTTGTTACTTGTATTCCGACAGTTTTAGGTGAGTTGTGTTAAGGTTGGTCAGGTGGAAATGAACTAACTGGGAAACGAAAACACATCAGAGCTAACTGCTATCCACATGCAGTATACTTTAAAAATGTTTTTATTGAATATTAAACAAATACAAGTACGTAAGTTAGACATTTAGCCAAAGCACAATTACAGGTTAAATAGAATCATAAAGATGTCTTAAATAGAAACCCACCATGCAGGCAGGTTAAGTTCCTTGATGCCCTCTTTTGGAAAGTAGAGGGTGGCGGAGGAAAAGTCTTCCATTCCACGTGAAAGATAGTGAAGACTAGAAGAATTCACATGCTGGATGCGATTTTCCATGACCAAATTGACAGGGTTGCCAGATTTCGTAAAATACAATAAAACAAAGCAAAACACCAGGATGTTCAGTTAAATTTGAATTTCAGATAATGAAGAATTTTTTAATTGTAAATATATGGCAAATAATACATGAAACATATGTAAGCTAAAAAATTATTTACCTGAAATTCAAATTTAACTGGGTATCTTGTATTTTACCTGGCAATCCTACGAACAGGATGCAGAAAAGAAAGGGAGGGGATTGGAACCTCCCGCAACTGGTGGGTCATACAGAGACTAAAAATAAAAACAACATCAATAATGAACCAGAGTCACCACACTCACTGGTTACTTACACAGACCAACATCACAATGAGAAAGTACAAGAACGACTCCAAATGCTGTGGCCAGGAAACAGTCCCGATTTCCTGCACGCTGGTTCTGTAAATGTTTTTGAGAAACCTTGTTGATGAAAGTACCTTTTTAGTTTGTAGGTATCAAAGACAAACAATACTACCACACAGACAGGCTGAGCTTGAAACTATGGAAGCAGGAGAGGTATTATATGCACATGAAGAGTTTAAATATTTTGTGTAACGAATACAACGATTATATAGTTAAGGTCATCTTCTAGGTCTAGGCTAGTGGCCTGAGATTTCTGTTCCTTTCTAATTCTTACTGACATGTTTCCCAGCTTTTCATCCTGAACCTTGGGAGGGGCACAGGATGTGTGAGGGACACCCCACTACCAGAGTTTAACTGCATGTCTCTGCAAACACTGAACCAACAAAGGGCTCTCAGGGCTGCCTGCAGAAATGGGTAGGCAGATAAAAAAATAACAAAACAATCTGAATTCTGGAGCATGAGAAATCTGTTTGAAAAGACGAATGGCAGGGTGGGTGTGGAGATGTGAAAGCGTAAAGCAGAAAAGAAAATGTGAAAGAATGAAGAGTCAAAATGCAGTCATCACTACTGCATGATGAATGTTATTTCAAAGGAGGCAGAACCCTCCGGGCAGATGTCCACACCTGTCACATCATGCGCATATTTGGTCTTACAGAGTATATGCAATCTTTAGCTTCCTACTGCTTTTCACTTATCACCATGGTTTATATTTCATGATTAAAAACAGCCTGTGCAGCACTCAAATTCTACATGGTATCAATGGGTTGTGTATCTCCACAAACACAAAACTTAATAGATTTTGAAATCTTTCTAGCACATCTCCAAACCAGGTGATCTGGTAGCTGGGGAATTTCAGAAATAGAGATTCAAAAGGGTTGAGGATATCAGCTCCTTTGCATAAGCGAGCATGACTTACGGAATAGACCCTCATCGATAAGCATAATGGGTGTGATATACACAGAGACATACCCGACTCACTGACACCTTTCAAACACTAAGAAATGGAATGACAACTTTTTATTTATTAGGATATAAAAGGTAAAAAGTTTCTGTCATAGTTAAGGCTTTCTTAAGAAGAGATATTTAACTGTCGATTAATTTTAGAATGCACAAAGTGTCTGAAGAAGCCTCACCTTTAAGGGTGGTTTTTTAAAAAAAATGTATTTCGTTTTCATACACCAGATGTGTCCAGAGCTCAAATACAACCTTCCCAATTACTTTCATTTGTCACTGATTTGACATCAAACAAGTTTGACTTTACTCTTTCAAATAAATTTCTGACACATGAAGTCCTATCTTAATGTCAGTTTTTAGTTTTCCCTGAATGACTAAAATCTTTCAGCACTACGCAAGGTAACTGCCCAAAAGAAAACTGTCCCACCATGAGCATTTCTGGTAGTAAGAAGGCTGTTTATCACAGATTATCATACAAATGGGATCTGGACACACTGGGGGGAGAGGTGCTCAAAATTACACACCATTGTTTGAAAGACAGTTTACAGAAATCCAGAGTGCACATGTTTGAAAGAGAGAGTGAGCAACATCCAATAACCATTGTGCCACTGAGAGATGTACTGAGAGAGAGAAAAACCTAGACGGCTTATTGCATTCTAATGCTGTTCTTCCAGCACACACCATTTTTCTGTATAAAGGCTATAATAATAGACTATTACTCTACCTGACTTTATTTGCCATATTCAGGCATTTCTCCGTACGTAGCAATGCACTTTGCTAGTTTGAGAGGAAAGGGGAGTCAGTCTAGCCACTAACATCAAGCTCAAATGAACACAAGGATGCTATTTCATGAAAACACCCTAATATTGTTTATTCTTGTTATTGAAAAGCTGGAAATTCCAAATTCCAAGAAGGAAAAGGTAGATAAGAATCCTGGCTGTACTGCTATTATTTTGCATAGAATTAAAAGTCTGGGTTCCATGCTGTCATTTGTTAACAAAGTGGCAGAATCGTCTAAGATCACGTGAGGCCTAATACCTGGCTGTGGCTGTGATAAGAAATAGAGGTACAGTCTCCTTTTGCAAGACTCAAATGAAGGAAGGAGGAAATGAGTGGGGTCTAAGGTAATTGTTGGCACTAATTATTATTCCAGATTAGCAATCTGGGGAAAAGGGACGGAGGCCAAGTACAAGGAGACAGTGTGCAGTCAGGCACTTACGCCTGACTCTAGTACCCAGGCTGCCAATGCCTGGTACACGGGGCCATCACGTCCCGAGCCCTTTGATGTTAGACCTGCGGGAAAGCTGGGGGAGGTGTCCAGATTCTCCCTTCCATTCCATTTGGGAAACAGAGGGGCCAGTTCAGGAAAGGCCATACTGGAAGCTCTCAACTTGCTATATATATATATATATGTATGTATATAGTGCATATACAAGAAATTAAACGGATTTTAGCCTAATTTTAATGCCATGCTTTCATATTCCAAAGGGTTTCTCACACTGCTATAGACGGAAATACCAAATGTAATCAACTTTTGCTAGCTTGAGTACACTCATGATGACCTTTGGTTTTCAAGTTTTGAAAAAATGTATTTGGCTCCTATGAGATATCAACCCATTCTCTTTAGCGATGAATATGTACACATTCTTTCAAGAATTACTATACTTGATTCATTACAAGACAAGCAGCACTGTGAATGTCTTCCTACACAGTACCTTTACTCGGCACACAGAACATACAATACATAACATTGGCAGTTTAAATATTGAACCACAGTTTAACTTCTCAAGTGTAAGGCTGAAGTTTAAAACTGGCACATCCATTAGCCTAATTAATATGATGGAAACAACATAACCACAGTCGAGTAGTGGCTTATCTTTTTAATGAAGCTATAAAGCTTTTGGTATCTATACCATATTAACCTTTTAAGTTAACTAAAAATCACAGCTGTGTTTACCACTTTAAACTATATCTAAGTGGGGAGGCAAGTAATATACACTTTCACAGCTACTGAAAACTACACTGATGCCAATTCCTTCAACCCACTGTCACACACAGCAAAAAAAGAAGGAAAGGAGGAAAACGCCCTCTTAATGAATATCAACTTCAAAGCTTCATATGGAACTCTAGTGCTATTAAACAAGTAGCCAAGACCAACACCCAGCTTGGGCCACTAAAACTTCAATAGAAGCAACAACTGAGGCTAATTCTTGATTTAATTTTGAGGACTGATGCAAGATTTAGCTATAAAACTCAAACTAGTTACCGATGCCTAGTTCCAGCATTGGACTCAAGCCGGAAAGAAAGCAAAATGTATATTTTAAGAGCCTACTCTAGAATTTTTGCATGTAACCATTTTATTTTTCTTTAGGTGATTAAATGAGGTCACAGCTTAATCAGCCTGTATTAAAAAACAAACAAATTAGTTTTCAGGACTTCAAGTTGAAACGGCAAGTTTGTGTCACACTGTTTTTTTCTTTTCTTTTCTTTTTTTTTTTTACTACATTTACATTACGTCTGCTTCAAAGCTGAGTAGATGAACTGCTTGTCAAAGTAAATAAATTAATGCACTCAATTCGATATTCAGTTAAGGTAAAAAGGGCAAGTGTGAGAACTATAATGGATAATTTTTTACAAATGTCAATGTGTACTTGGCAAATGTTGATTAAAACAAACAAAAGAAAGTAATTTCATGAAGTAACGGTATGGTATTTCTTCACCTTCATTTTAAAAAATAACTGAAAGAGCTTTGGTTTCAAGTTTTTGTTCTCCTTGTCTATTGAGAAGTTTAAAGAAATGGTTCAAAAATTTAGTGCAGGGACCTGTATAAACCATTTAAGCACCTCACTCAAAGTAAACCCCAAGTCTGGAGTAAACAAAAAGTTCTTGCATTTGTGCACAACTACCAAACAGGATTTAAATCCTAGCTTGCTAACCCAGAAAAGCAATAAAGTAATATTTTTGTGACTCCAATGAAGTACAATCATTTGACTGAATTTGGAAATAAGGGAGCTAATTTTGGGGGTGACAATTCCGGTGGACTTGATTAAGTGAGCAGTGCTTTTCCTTTGAGGAGTCCCCAGAATCCTTTTTGGCAGCAGCAGTACAGGACCACATGCTCCTCACGGGTCCTAACAGCCCTCTCGCGCTGTCTCACCTCCGAATCTGCGACAGCATCACTTCCACCGTCCCCTGGCTGTGCTCTGCTGGGCTCTCCAGCACTGTCTTGACCGCCTCTGATGCAGGCGTGCATTGGAGAGAGCAAATGGCCCTCACCAACTTTGACTTCTCTGAACTTGGGAGCTCCTAAATCAGGTTAATGTTTGTGCCTTTCCCTTGTAAGACTGGCCAATTAATAAAGGAAATGAGAACTTGATGTTTCCCCTTCCCCTCTCAATTTACGTTTATAAGTACAGATATAAAATAAATTAAAGTGAAAAAAACTCTTGCTCAGAAGCTTGTTGCATTGCTAATGATTTTAGTCAGTGTGACTTTGTGCAAAATATCCTCAAGAAGGCTCTGGCTCATTATCAAAGTGAGAAAAAAACCAAAAACAAAACCAAAAACAACGAAAAAAATGATGCATGTTTAGGAAAAATTAAAAATGCGCCTGTCATATGTGTATTTGTTATATACACATGCCATATATAATAAAGCAAATGTAGTGTATGAACTTTAAACATTTGGGAAAGTATTGGTTATGTTTTCTTTTTTTTCCATTTCCAAATGGATCAAAGCAATCTTATTACAGAAATGGATAATTGCAATGAAAGTGAGCCTGAGATATATTAAAAGGCTGCCCCTGTAAACATTTCCTCAAAGGGAACAGTAGCAGTTGAGTATGTATCAGTTACTCATACTATATTCATTACTATATAGCAATGCTTCATAAAAGACAAACAGCTTATTCTAGGCTGTCAGGGATTTACAGAGTATTGATTTTGTTGGAAACAATCCATTGTAATCCAGTCCCAGGTGTAGATCTGATCTGGCCTTTACCAGGGGGCATTCACTAGGTCTTCTGCTCTGCGGCTGTTGCAGTCTGTGAAGGAGCTTCTGGCTTCATGATCTGGTATGTGATGAGATACTCTGGGTATGCCTGGAGAGGACAGGAGGAAAAACAGGTCACCTTTTTGGCAGCTACAATACTAAAGCCTTGCTTAAGGTGGAAGCCTCAGAGGAGGCTGATCCTAATCGATGTTCTATATACACGCTCCAGAGTCTACAAAGGCCAGACAATAGGTGCCTGAACAATCAGGAGAGCCACCTACATGTCTATGTAAACAAGTATAAATCCTACAATCTAGCAAAGTATTACATGTGATTTCAACTTTTAATATTATAAATTAGGTTACACTGCATTCACCCCTCATTAGAGAGCCACATGCCATAAACAAGAAAATTAAGGTAAGAGGAAATCTCTTTTTCACCTCATCTAGTATAGTGCTCAATATAGCATGTGTTCAATAAAAGTCTGTCAAATGAATGAATAATTCTGCTGAGTCTATTTCAAATTATTCACAGATGATGATGTAACTAATCTATTGAGCTAGAAGAAGGGTGAGGTGTGTTGAGTTACCAATAACTTGGAGGCAACCGTTTAGAGACAATTTTTAAAAGTCACCCTCTATGAAAGAAATTATAGTTACCATATACAACTTACAAAATAATGAAAAGCGAATGGTAAAGAAAACCGAAATCACTTATTATCTCAATAGTGAGATAACTACTCATGCTTTAGTTGATTCTGTATTTAACATCTATTATGTAAATGAATTTTTAAAAATCATAGTCATACGAATATACTAACATGTATTAAATCATTTTCTTTTTGTTGAATATTTAGGTTTAAATTTTTCATTATGATAATCAAGACAGTAATGAAATTCCTTACATTATTTTTTTGTGTATGTGACCATCGCTGATTATATTAATACAAATTTCTAGAAGTGGAATTACTGAGTCAAAGTGAAAGCATTTTATCTAGAAGCCTGGAGTTTCTAATTTAAACAAAAATTGACAAGTTTATTCTTTGGTAGGTTTTTAAACTTTTTATTTGGAAACAACTGCAAACTTACACATGAAGTTGCAAAAATTAAAATGATACGTACCTAAAACACCTGCACGCCCTTTACTGACATCCACCTACTACTGTTCAAGTTTTATCCCATTTGCTTTATCATGTACATTTCCCCTACCTCTGTATTCACTGGGCAGGCAGACAAGCAGATGCACAGGCACATTTTTTTCCTGAACCGTTTGAGAGTAAGTTATATACATCATCATGGCTCTTCAAATATGCCAGTATTTATTTGCTAAGAATTGGAATATTCTCTTACATAAGCACAGGACCAACCTTATAATTTTATATTGATAGAATATTTTTATCTAACTACCATTCATATTTCACTTTTGTCAGCCGACCTAATAATGTCCTTTCTCTTTCAGTACCAGATCCAATGTGGGTGCAGGACCTCCAGTTAGTTGTCCTGTCTCGAGTTTCATTTAATCTGGAAAGTTTTTGAAGCCTTTCTCTGTCTTTTATAGCACTGATATTTTTTAAAGAATCCAGTCTTACCACATTTTTTATGAATAGAACAGTCCTCATTTTGATTAGACTGTGGTTACACATTCTTGGTTGGAACACTGCATGAATGATGTGATCTCAGGGATACACCTGGAGGTGCACTCTAGGTCTATCTGTCCCTCACTGGTGATGTTAATTTTGATCATCTGGTCAAGGTATTGCCCCCTTTCTCCAATGTGTAATTCCTGTGTTTTTTCTTTCTCTTTTGTAACTAATAAGAAGACCATGCAAATCTTTCTCCTTATCAAAATTATCCCCTAGATTTAACAACCATTGATGATTCTTGCACGATCTAATCTTTACCAAATGGTTACAAAGATGACTGTCTAAATCCAGTACTGCCTGCATATCTACCCATGTGCCCTTGGCTTTCTACTGTAAGCAAAAGTCTTCTTTTCTCCTTCCTTCCTTCCTTCCTTCCTTCCTTGGGGAATGGTATTAGAGGTCTGGGCTCTAGGTGTGCTCACTGCTATTGGGGTTTCTTTCCTCTCAGCAGACAGTGCTAAGAAACACATGTACATATATACTCATATACATACACATGCTTACATTACTTTTACACACAAACCTATACACACATGTACTTACATGTATACACACATATATTAGAAACCATGAGTTCATATCAATACCTCTAATCAGTCCACCCTTACAGTCATTCTTACCTTCCCGCCTTCCATATGTGTGTGTCCCTCTTTCTTCAACAGTGAGAACCCTAGCTCCCTAAGTCAACGCATTTACTCATTTGCTTAACCCTATAATTAAATGAAGAGAGTTTCACTGCTTTGCCTATACCACCACAATCAACAGATCTACTAAATGGAGTTCAGGATTCGTTTGCAATTCTTCCCCTACACCACGCCCACCTGGCCAAAGACTGATAGCATATAATACTGTTTTCATAGGTTACTTGTATTTAATTTCTTCTTTCTCTCTTTTTTTCCTTTTCCTCTTCTCCATCAGTGAAGTTAAGGACTCTATTTGAAATTTAATTAAGTTCTGACAAATTTGTTTTTGTTTTTAGACAAATTGGTAGGCATTTGGCAGTACTGTGAAAGTTAAGGACTGGGTTGAAAATAATAGAAAGTTTTCCTGCTTGTTGACAATTTTATTTTGGAGCCACAAGCAATTGGCAGAATTTAATGTACTGTAGCTTCACGACTCAGAAAGCTATCATACTGTGTGAATACGATGACAGAAGTACCGATGGTCCCTGATTTATGATGGTTAGGCTTGTGCTGGGCAGAGCCAGCTACCCATGAGGTCATGAGGGTAAATAACCGGTACATTACAGTGTGCTGTGTTGCCAGTGAATTTTGAATATTGTGTTTTCACATCCCATCATGTCTACAAAACACCCATCTGTGTGCCAGAGTGCTTTTAGCTGTGTATGTGAATGGTGAGTATCCATGTAACCATTCTGTTCTTCACTATCAGTGTAGTGTTCAATAAATTACATGTCAGAGTCAATACTTTATTATAAATAGGCTTTGTGTAAGATGATTTTACCCAACTGTAGGCTAATGTAAGTATTCTGAGCAAGCTTAAATTAAGCTAGGCTAAGCTACAATGTTTGGTAGGTTAGGTGTATTAAATGCATTTTCAGCTTATGCTATTTTCAATTTATGATGGGTTTATTGGGATGTAACCCTATCAAGGAGCATCTGTAGAGCTTCAACTCGTGTGACCAGTTGTGGCAAGTACATCCATGAAGATGATACATCAAATGGCAGCTGCTCTTAGCTCTATTGCCATGTTATGAAAACTACAAAGCATTAACTCAGAAGAGCGGGCCTCAAGAATAGCATGAGATGCCACGCCTTTATTTCTCACCCGCCCTCTTGTTCACACGGTGTTACTGGGCTGACAGGAGACTGATGGGTTGTGTGTGTAAAGTTGATGTCAAAGAATTTGGTATCTTCATTTTGACCTGAAGCAACTAATGCTATCCAGACTATGTGGTCGGTATTTCATTAAATGGTTTTCTTTAACTCTTACGTGGTCTCCATATTCTGTATCAACATGTTTAGTAACTTTGTTATGCTCATCTGATAAGTAACATACCTGCTCTCCTCTGTAGATGACATACTCAGCATATGCCAACCCATTCACACTTGGTCTCCCAATAACTGAGTGATGTCCTGGAGGGGCATGAGCCATTTTCATGGTGCTGAACTGCAGAAAGGATTTTCCAAGGGTCACTCTACAGAAAAGCATTTGTCTAAAGGAAAAAGAAAGCAATGCTTTGAAGGAAGCTTTAAATCTTGGAGTGATATAACTGTTAGGTTTACGGATTAAAAAAAAAAATTTACCACAAGGTGAACTAACTTAAATGTCATTTTCATGTTTATGAGAAGGAACGGGATGAGATTTGATATATTGCATTACTATAAATAACAGGCTCAACAGTTACACTTAAAGTTTAAGTGTAACTTCAAGTTTTGATGTGGTTTAGGAATCAATCACAATAAATGCCTGGCAAGTTTTAGAAAATGGAAAAAGAAAAATACTAGTGAAAACTGAGTTCTTGTATGGAAGAATAGGAATAAAGTGAAGAAAATAGGGAAACAGTAGCAGCATCTGAAATTAAGATTTGGATTTACTCAGTATGAAGTAAAAACTGAAATAAGATAAATAGTAAGAGTGGATCATATACAGCAATATTTGCTTAAATGTCTGACTGGAAATTATACTACCTGGGTGAAACATGAATGGGGCAGATGTGAAATACTATAGTGAAGAAAGATTGATAGGGAAGAAAGTATAATACATTGTATAAACTATGGGTGGGCAAACTATGGCCCATGGGGCAAGTTGAGTCTGCCACCTATTTTTGTAAATAAAATTTTATTGGCACACAACCACATACTCATTTACATATTGCCTATGGCAGCTTTTGTACTACAAGGGCAGAGCCGAGTCATTGGGACAGGGATCATATGGCCTGGAAAGCCTAAAATATTTATTATGTGGCCCTTTAAAGAAAAAGTTTGCCAACCCTTAATATAAATAATAAACATTTTAATTAAACAGTAAGATTGGTCACCTGTTAAAAATAAACAGTTATTCAAAGTTTGTTTTTAGTAATGGAGTACGACCTTTACATTATGACTTATCAGAGATATTATTTTGAGTCAATTAAAAGCTGTGCCACAGCCAGTATCATCAGTTCCTGCCCACGCTTTTTTAGTGTGATCTATTGAGGGCCCTCTGGCTTGGATACAACAGCATTTCCCTGTTGGTCCCAAAGGAAAGAGTTTTGACCTACAAAGGAGGGAGGCTTCTTGAGCTCCATTCCCACATTGCGGTAGCACGACGGTATCACTGGACTCTGCCCGCTCACCCGGCAGGGCCCACTGCCATGGCCACTCCCAGTCCATATGTCACATAAAGCTCGACCTGACAGTCCTCACCTCCTGCCTTCTGCTTTCTGCCCCAGGGCTTCCCTGTTTCTGCGGGGGCAGAAGCAGCAGGACCTGCCCAGTGGCCCATGAGGCTGCAGGCCGCAGAGGGTAGGTGGAGAGTGCTAGCTCCGGCCTGCTGGCTCTCTGGCTTGCCCTGTGATTGTGGTGCACTCTGCAGACGCAGCGGCTCAAAGGGGGGCAGGATCAGGAGTGTACCAAAGCCCCGGGGGCTAATGTTGACCAGTGCAAGAAAGGAGCCAGCAGATAAATTCATCTCTTTTCTCCCATGAGGTACTGTTCTGAGACAGCTTCCAGGTGACATCAGGAGTGTTTAGGGTGGTATGGCTGTAGACTAAAGGTGTCTCATGGACCAAGCAACCATGCACTTGTTCTGAAACTTGATGGGACTCAGACTATTCTTCTTCCTTCTCTACCTCACTTCTTTTTGTGCCCTTATTCCTGCTCCCCTGGGACTGCACTTGCCAAGAAAGTGCTCACATATAAGCTTTTGTTTCAGCTGTTGTTTTCCAGGTAATCCTGGCTAAGACATAAACTTGTGTGTCTAATTTTAATGGGCGCCTGGTTCATCCTCACCTAGGATCACTTTTATTGCTTATTTAGATTTATTCTGTCTCCAGGGGAGTTAGGTTTGAAGCAACAAAGAGAAAATTTTGCATGTTACATATTCTTGGGGATTTTTGAGTGTTACTAATCACAGCAGCCTTAATGGAAAGAAATTTCCTTCTGGACGCATGGCATCCATTTTAGAACTGCTGACGGCTGCAATTTGCTCCACAACATAACCCAGAGAGATAAGGTTTAAGGTCAACAATGATAATGAATTTCTATGTTATATAGGTCTTTTTGAGGTTTTAACTGAATTACAAGGTCTCATATTAACCTGACTTTGCAAAAACAACCCATCTGGTTAATATAAAGAGACATGTAATAAACTGCACTCTTTGTAAAGTACAATTCTTCTGTATTTTTTTCTATTGGCAGGGAAGGGAAGAGGGAAGGGAATTCTTCTTTTTCACTGACTTCAGAGAGTATACTATTATTCTCTGCAATTTCTGAGTTTTGAAATCCTATTTAAAAAGCTAGTATTTATTTGTTTATTAATTCCAAAACTAATATTCTGAAGTTGGACTTCTCCAGGCCAGTTATATATCCTGCTTTAAAATATCACTAGCAACCTCAGAAGCACATTAAAGATTCTATTTGTGTGTCTTAGTTCCAATGTGACTTGAGCTAGAGGTTCTTTGTTCTAAAGAAATAATTTTTACCTTTTTCTTGCTCTGATTCTGAAGCAAGAAAAGTAAAGCCCAGGAAAAAAGCCAAGATGGAGGGAATTTCATTGTCACTTACGATAGATTGACATATACCTGGTTTTTATCACCACTAGTATCAGCTCTGTTGTCATTGCTCCTATTAGGGCAGAGGCTGATCAGCTATTCCCACCCAATCCCCAACCTGTCTGATTCATTAAGTTAAGACTGAGGACAACCTGTGACTTCTGCAAAGCCTGTGAAACAAATGTGTGGTTCATGACCTCAGGATAGCAACGATTACATGAAAGGCAAGATGCTCACCTGTGACATATATAACATGACCGATCTTTGTGTGTGGGGCAGCCTGTGCCTCCTCCAATTCCATAAACATACTGGTTGCTTTTAGAGGAGTTTTCAGCAAAATAAATCCCAGCACCAAACATTCCTCCTATGTATGCATGTCTCTCATCAAACCCTTTATGAATAATGGCATTAATGAAAGGAGAACCTAAAAATATATAGAAAGATTAGTTTTTGAACACTTTTCTAGAATCTCAATTAGCTGCATACTTGGCCGACTAACATTAAGTAATTATAATACATAACTGAAGAGTTTATTTTATAAGATGTCTATCATACATAAATTATTATCATGTACTAGAATCTTATCAAGGACCCATAGTGCTCACCAAACAAAGATGTTATATGGATTTTGGAGATGGCATGAGATTTTAGATAGCAAAGTACAATATAGCTTTGAAAATACAGATTATTCTATATCCAATCTTATTTTAAATAAGCACAGATAATCTGATAAACTAAAACTATTATGCAACACTACAATAAAAACATTTCATTGTCAAATGGCTCAATGTGCAATTTAAGTTCTGAAACCATTTCAAATAAGTTGTTTTCATTGTCATGTCTCAGAAAGCCTGCACTAGAACATAATACATTAGAAAGCTGGTACCAATATGTAATTATTTGGGGGGGGAAAAAAAAATCAAAACGAACCATCTTTAACACAACACTAATATAGTCAATAACACAGGTTTTTCATTTTGTTGGACTCTGTGAAAGCCCAGAGAGCTGTCTAATTGGTCATGACACTCACCATGAAATAACATGCGCTCATTGTGATGGTTATGATTCTCCTCAGACACCTCCTTTTGTCTGTGACAGAATCGTTCCCTCAACTTCTTGTTGACAACTTTTTGAATCTTTAAGAATGAGGAAGAAAGAAGAAATTTAATAAAATGTATGTTAATGGGCAATTTATGATTTAAAATTAAAAGTATATTTTCCTTTAGGAAGGTCTAATTTGTGTTTTGTTTGTTTAAGACATTATTTAAAAATGATAAAGTTGCCAGGTTAGTATAATTCAGTTAATACTCTGGCTTTTAGTGACATAATTTTCAGTTTTGGTTTTTGTTTGTTATTTTGTACTAGGCCTGGCTACACCTCAGAGTAATCTGAGGAGTTGGAAAAGAAAAGTTACTCCTAGAGTCTTCTCTAGGTTTACTGAATTCTGGGATACAGGGGCCTATAAATCTGTATTTTTCAAAAAGCTCACTGGGTAATTCTGACGTGTGCTGGTCCAACTTCTACAGGTCTTTAACCCAAAGGGTTAAATCAGTTCTCAACATATTTTATTCATCTTCATGATATCCCTTTGAAAAAACCACATAAGCAGTCATCTAGCCCGTATTATAAATTAAGATACTGAGATTAGGAGATATATGCATTCTGATATAATCACTGACTCAATTAGATTAAAAAATCCAGGCCTTTAATGCTACTTTGAAATGGTGATAACAAAAATTATTGTCAGTTATGGTCTGACTTTAAGGATGAGCTGGGAGTTAAATCACCATATTTGTCAGCTGATCTAGCCTTCTGTTTGTAGCTTTGGTGGTGTTTCCTGGGTGTCTTTATTTCTAGTGAGTATGGTCTTGAGAGGCTAGAGGTTATATTGTGGTGAGGAGGGTGACACCTGACTGCAGGGCAACGAGTGACTGATTATCGTTGAGGTTGAAAACATGATTTTTAAATATGACTTTTTCATTGTCAGTATATGATTTTCAGGAAAGCCTTGCAATCCAATTTTCACCCTGAAATTTAAAAAACTTACTCGAATGACATTGTATCTGTTGAAGATGCCGCCAGCATTACCACCATCTCTGTGTTCTCGAATTGTACTTTGCATCTATAGAATGAAATAAAAAAACAAACTTTCTGAAAATATGCCAGTGCATAATTCTAAAGACCCTCCTTTCATCGTTTTCAAAATTTCAACCCTATTACATTGCTTCACTGATGAGTCTAAGACTCAGCACTTATAACTTCATAGGAGTTTACTATAAATTGAGCAACAAGTTTAGTAGGTAAGTATTTCTGGTAAGAATATAGTAAAAAATATAAATACTAAATTTCTGCATTTTCTTTTTATTATCTAATAAAAGCTTTGAAAGATTTTTCTATAAAAACAATGGGGAAAGGGCCGGCCGAGTGGCGCGGTGGTTAAGAGCTGGCTTGGGATGCCAGAGGGCCCCGGTTCGGATCCCACATATGAGGACCAGTGACACTGCCCTCTACAGCTAAGATGCTGAACAACAGCTCAACCTGGAGCTGGGCTGCCCTGAGTCGCCGGCGATGGCGTAGGCTGTAGCCCCTGCTGCAGTGGGTTGCCATGGGCTACCGTGTGTAGCCTGCAGCCAGCGTGAGTGGCCAGCAGCCACAGTGAGCGGCCGTCCAGAAGCTGGCGACTGATCTGCCTCGCCTGGGAAAAGCGCAATGATGGTGCCAACTTGGGCCAGTGAAGCAATATCCTCCACAAGTAGACTGAAGAACAAAAGGACAGCAACTTTTCTGTTCCCCTTCCCCCAATTCCCCAGCGCTGTTCCCATCCCCCAATAAAAATCTTAAAAAAAAAAAAAGTAAATAACACGAAACCAAAAAAATGGTTTAAAAAAAACCAAAAACAACGGGGAAATATAAAATATCACATTAAGTTATCTACATTACTATTTTATGTTACTGAGAATTGAAACAACATTGTGATTAACTCAAACTAACACTCCTCATAACCCCAAATATTTGCACAAATGCTAAAAATATACACAAATAATTTTTAAAAGTCAAATTTTTGTTCCCTAGGGGACATACTCTATATCTCTTTAATTTGGGATCTCACAGTGTATCTACACAGACCAGGGGAAGTTGAATACAATGCACAACCAGGTGGAATAACTTTCTTCTGAACATTCCTCATCCTTCCTCCACTCTCCAAATTAAGAAGAATTATGATGGAAAAATAAAAAAATTTTTTTTAAAAAGATTTTATTGAGAAATTGGGGGAGGGGAACAGCACTGGGGAATTGGGGGGAGGGGAACAGACAAGTTGCTGTCGTTTTGTTCTTCAGTCTAGTTGTGGAGGACGTTGCTTCACTGGCCCATGTTGGTATTATCATTGTGCTCTTCCCGGGTGAGGCAGATCGGTCACCGGCCACTGGATGGTCACTCACAGCAGCTCTTGGCAGCTCACATCGGCTGCCAGCCGCTCACGTTGGCTGCCAGCCACACACGGTAGTTTATGGCAGCCCACTGCAGCAGGGGCTGCAGCCTACGCCGTCGCCAGCGACTCACAGCAGCCCAGCTCCAGGTCGAGCTGTTGTTCACCATCTTAGCTGTGGAGGGCAGTGTCACTGGCCCCCATGTGGGATCCGAATCGGGGCCCTGCTGCTCAGAGTAGGCGTCCCAAGCCAGCTCTTAACCAACTTACTGCTCGGCCAGCCCTAAAATGTTTTAAAAACCCAAGTTTCTCATAGAATTGACTCAGAGTTAATTCTCTAATTCACCATTCCATTTATGAAGTTATTCACCACATTTTGACATTATCAGAATTTACTAATTATTAGGAAATGAATAGGCAATAAAATACTAGAAGACATGATCTTTCCTATAAAACTGGCTATAAGCTGAAATGCTACTTAAGGTAACTGTCCCGAGTTCCCAGAATGGGAATGAAATGAGCATTAATAAAAAAGCAGAAAATAAAACTGTAGGCATTCTTTTGTACGCCAAGTAATATCATTAGGCACTTTATTATGTGTCAGAAGTGGGGCAGAAGCCATCAGTAGAGAGGATTCTCTATGGCATCTGCCTACCAGGAGGTTCATACAAATTGTCTTACTACGGTGCGTTAAAATCATTGTGACTGAGGAAATGAAAGGTGACTCAAGTTATGAGGCAGATTTCCCAAGCATACATGAAAATTAGGCATATTATTTTATAATCATGTCTTACAATGCTGCACAAAAGTCAAGATGAGAAGATATTTGCTAACTATGAAGTAAGATTACTCTGCATCATTCTTAGGTAGCATTTTAACAATATTAAAAAAAAAGTTCTAATAGGGTCCTTACTTGCATGAGTTTCAAGAAAGCCTTCAGAATAAAAAGACAGATCTAAACCATCCATTGGAAACCCTAGGCTTATGATGTGAAAACCATGTGAAATAGTTCTAATTCATAGTCTATTTTAATTTTGGCAATTTCCACCACAATGGCTATGGGAAATAGGATAACAAATAGACAAGTGACCATAAGTCAAAGTACGACAAGCTTACCTCTCCCAGAAAAAAAGGTTTACCTGTCGATTCTAGGAAAAGATAATTAAGAATTCTGATGTACATTACCTCTTCTTCTACTGACTGATATTCCTTATCGTCCGGAGCAAGATCTAGCAAAATAGTTCCCTGATTAACACAGTGAAAAGTCAAATAAGGGTTGGTTCCTGTGGTAGAGAAAAATTAACATAGTTAACGTGAGTCCATACTATTCAGGCTTTATTTTAGGAAAAACTTTGATTATTTTGGAACAAGTCCAAATTACTTGAAATTGGAACCTAATATTCAAGTATAAAATTATATTAAACAAGCACGTCTAAAGACATGGGAAGTAATGGAGATGTGTTTGGGAATCACTTTTATACGTCCTTACAGAATTCCTTGTGCACACAGCAGGGCTCAACAATTATTTGTTAGATTAAATTCAATCATTAACATAAATGAAGCAATGTTTGATACAAAAGAGAAACACATTGTAATTACACTGTAGTCAGATCTAACATATAAGAATTATCCTTTTCTCAAAACTCTGTGAGATGGCTCCAAATGGTCCCTTATAATAAGTTTAAAATTCATTATCCTTGTTCATTTCATGATCCTTGTTCAATTAATATAGATAAACAAGCAAGACTTACTCTCAAAACCTCCTAACCTTTAGCTTCATGTCACTTTTGAAATTTTATTAGCTCTGCAGGCTAATTAACTTATTCAAGTTGTTTCTTTTCTCGCCTCTTGCTTCCCTATAATAAAAGCACTTCTAACAAACAGAGACATGATAAACATGGAGGCATACAAATGAGAAAGACAGGAGGCTTGTAACAGCAAAGCACGATGGAAGAAGATTAAGCTGACAGTTGTAAGGAAGGGAGAAGGGTGCAAGATGAGGTAAGGGAGGAAGGTCAGACCATGGAAAGCTATGTTTCAAATGTCTGATCTTATCGCAAAAGTAACAGGATTTTCTCCTACTGAAGGGTTTTAAGCAACGAAATGATATGATCATAAGTCATGTTGAAAGGCATCTTCTGGTTAGAGTGCAAGGAAGACACTGGAGGGGAGGCAAAAGTGAACATTGAAGATAAGCTGGAAGGTGGTTGTGAAGGTCCAGGCGAGACATGATGGTGACTGGGATTAGGTGACAGCAATGGAAAACGGCAGAAGTATAAATTCCAGAGATATTCAGAATATAAAGAATGGCGAGAGGCAGGAGAATGACTGAGATTTCCAGCTAGAGCAACTAGAGAGCGCGTGCCAACAACCAAGACGGGGCAGGTAGGAGGTGCTACACCAGGCAAGCGCATGAGATCTGGGCTCAGCCTGCCTGAGTTCACATGCCAGCCCTGATGCTTACACCTTGTACCGCTAATTTCTGAAATGTATTTTTTCCTAATAGCTTACCTTGTTGTCCGCCTAAGAGTCTTTCTACTCCTTTGATTAGTTTATGGCGGTGTCCATATGCATTGATGCCTATTTCTTTCAACTCTTCATGACCCATATCAGCCAATACATCTAGTGTTATCTGAAAAGTGAAACAAAATTAGTTGTTCAATCTTTAACGGTTCCTCATTCCTCAGACAATCAAAACTCTTCTGTCTTCAATGCTATACAATCCATTCAAATTAAGAAAATCCTTTTCTTCCATTATAAGCATGAACTTACAATCTTCTTAAAGTTGTCTTGAAAATTTTATCACCTTTTGCTCACTTTAAATACTTTAATTTGCTTTTAGTTAATGGAGAATTAAAATGGCAGAAACAATGCTATAGAAATATAGAATCAGTGCTCTATTTCCTTTTGATTACTTAATTCTACCACCTTTTGCTTGCCTCAAGATATAAGAGGGGACAACCAATAGCTTGAAAATTGGGAAACACCAGGTCCCAGTATCCAGCAGGTGGCCAAGAGAGGGAAAGGGGAGAGGTGAAACAGGCACAATGAAACAGAATGTGGCAAAAAGAGTAAGCAATTTTAGGTAAGAAGATTTATATAAAGAGGAATTTCTTAGAGCTAAGAAATATTCAATTATGGAAAAAGCTGCCTTAGAAAGTAATGAAATTTATATCACAAGCATTTAGTTAGATTACAGACCATTTTATATAGAAGGTAATAATAAAGAATTCCAATATGGAGAAGAGAGTAGATGGATTTAAAATTCTCAGATTTAACAATTCCTCAAGCCTAACATACATTCTATTTTTGTACAAAATAGTGGTTTTTGATTTTTGGTTATTCATCCCTGTAGGTGGAGATGATTAGTTAGCTATCATCATGCCTCAAAATTACCGAATTCTTTTGTTGACCAAAAGTAACTACGACTCTACCGCCACCCAGTGGCAGTGTTCTGAATGTACTGGGTAAAATCTTGGGTGAGCACATTTCTTGAGGGCTGAACATGCAATTTTCCAGTTTAGAAGAAGCTGGCCCTGTGACAATCCAAATACTACTTCCCAAGATTAACTTTGATTTTCTCTTTCCTTGGGAAGCTGAGAAATCCTTTTAAAGACACCCTTTTTCCTAACTTATGAGATATTTTCATCTATCCATAGCTTCTCTACCTTTACACTTATACATACCATTTTAAAAAACTGACAAATTAGGCCTTGAGCTCTGCTGATTTTTATTGTCAGAATGAAATATTATATAATGAGTCTGATCTTCTCAGCGCAGAAGCATTCATCACTCAGTCTTTGGAAATAATTTACTATATTACTCCTAAATGGCCATTTAAGAAATAATCGCTTCATTGCACAAAATGGGCAATTCACTTCCAATCACCCAAAGGAAGTTTTCAGCAGAGCTTTTAAAAAGCAACAGTTTTGAAATACCCATCTTTGAGACAGAATAGTTCACAATATAATAGGAGCCGTTCCATTTTTAGCTAGATGTGGTTTTATTATAATCTGGAAACCATGCACAGGGTTTACTACATTATCAATATCCCATTATTTTTCCTTCCAAATATTTTAAACTTCAGTTCAAATATGGGCTGACATACAAACAGGATCTCTTATCTATGTGGTGGCTTTAATTCAAAGGATCCTTAAGCTTTTCTGAACTAATACATAAAGTGCATATCTGGAAGAAGCAGAAACCAGGCAGCAAAACATTGTATTTTTTACAAGGTTCTAGAGAAGAAATGGTGAATGTAATATATTTGTTCATTATATAGCTCCAATCATAAAATGAATAGCTCATTTAATCCTCACAATGACCCATGAAGTGCTGTTAACGTCCTTATGAGGAAACCAAGGCTCAGGGCAGTCATAAAAATCACAACCAGAACAGCTGAGATGTATCGCCATTTCTGTCTCTCCTTAGCTTGTATTTCTTAAAAGAGATGACTAGAAAGCTAACATAACTAAACATTAAATTTAGTTTCTTTGACTTACATGGTACCCACTTTGTCCCATATTTACCAAGTAGTGACCAATGGAAAACCTTAAATGACAAGCTAGAGAATTCAGATTTATGTTTATTTGTTCATTCATTCATACACGTTTAATAAGTACCTTCTGTATGCTAGATATTTCCAAGAAGATAACTAATTAAACATTTCATTTCATTCTAAAACAACCCATAGGTCAGAAGGTTAAATAACTGGTACAAAATGGTAGTGCGAGAGTGGGGCCAGGAAACGAACGGAGTACTACGGCTGAAGTCCATGCTATTTCCTATGCCAAGGTGATAAAAAGAAAACACAAAAACATGGTAAAGCCTGGGAAATGTTTTGGAGGAATCCCTATGGGAATTCTTAGGAAGGTTACCTACTTGGTCGAGGCTGAAAGTAGGGTTGGGAAGGAAAGGAAGGAACAGGCACCTAGGGAGTCAGGAAAGGTTCTCAGAAGAAGGTAATATAATTCAGCTAAGAAGTGGAAGTTAATCAGGCAGAGAGAGGAGGGAAGGGTGTTTAAGACAAAGGGAACAGCATGTGCAAAGGAAAAATCAAGTAAGAGAATATAGAACATTTGAGGGACACTAAGCCCTGAAGTTGAAAATGGTTAGAGTATGATATTTATAAAGAGATAAAAGAAGGGATGGACAGGGCAGCAGGTCAAGGGCAGATCTTAATGGGCTTTACATATCAAATTAAGATACCATCTTGTAGAAGGTCTGAGGAAGACTTTTCAGCAGAGTAACACAATCAATGTTGTATTTTAGAAGACACAACATAATGCCAGTGGTGGCATTATGAAGGGCAGATTTGGAAAGCAAAATGACTGTGAATAAGATGAAGATGGAAGCAATGAATCAGAGAAAGCAACTTCAAAGGGAGAGATGACAGGGCCTGGTGAACAGAAATAGTTAAGGGGTAAAGAGGAATGGGAGTAAAGATTATTCTAAAGCTCTGGAGCTGGGTGAATATCAGAGTATTGTATCAATAAAAGAAATGAAATATCTGCAAGTAGAGCAGATTTTAGATATGTTGCTCCAAGACTCAGGGCTTTTATACTGCTAGAAATATTTTTCTGCAAGTTATCTTTAAATTAACTCATTAAAAAAATATCTTAACTTAGTTATAGCCAGGAAATCACAAATTTGTTGGGCTAGTTATTTATATCTAGCACACATGAAAATCAAATTATAATCTTTAAAGTACAGATTGTCCATGTATCAGCTACATCTTGTAGGTAAAGCAATGTCACTTCAAGAAGGGCTGCCAACTTCTTTCTCAGGTTTGCTCATTTTTACCACGGGTGGAGGGACAAATGAGAGGTTTAATGAAAAAGGCCTTTCTTTTACTTGGGCTTAAAAGGTTGCAGGCTAGAGTAACAGTTATTAGAACTAACTTTACAGCCATGTTCACAAGGAATGTACTTGAGTCCATGGCTTTGTCTTTAAGAATTTGAAATAAAAATTTATGTGGTCACTTTTCATGAAAATATATAGGTTGACCATAAATATGTCCACAAGGAATATTTCACGTCACAGTGTTTATGTTCCAAGAATTGCAAGGTAAATCAAATTGGTCTTTCCCATAGAAAAAGTGTTCTAGTCAGGAAGCTACATTCTAAAGGAAGGGCCAAAGTAACACTGATACTATATTTAATTAATTGTAAAGGACATAGGTATTTATTATTTAATATACAACTTGGCAAAGTATATATGTCAAAGATGTCAAGTTAGTTCAGACACTGCTGAGAGAATAACTATGAAGAGGTGAGGCTATGGTGCTCTGAAGAAAGTTTTCCTGGGACCAGAAATAAAATAACTGCATTCCTTACTCCATTGGGAGAGAAGTATCCATGAGTAGGAACAGCAGCAATAAGATATTATATGTGAAAGTACCTCAGGGAGCAGAATGATTCTCTGGCTTAAGCTAAATAGACATGAATTAAATGGGTAGAATACATATATCCTTACTCCTTCCCTCACTACACAAGTATCTTGACCATCATTACATATTATTAACCTGATATAGATTATTAATGGGATAAAATTCTATGGGTAAGTTAAAAAGAGTTACAAAGTTTATTACTCTGTAACTGAAGGCTAATCAGGTAACACTTGCAGTTAAAATAAAAATTAATTTGATTGTTTGACGGCTGGGCCAGAAGACAAATATAGTTCAATAAAAAAAAAGGTAATGTCATTTGTCCAGACTCTAGAGGAAAGGAACTGTACATTACGTAGAACAGTCAACATATTGATAAAAAAAGAATATAGAAATTATTCTGGCAAAAAGAAAAGCAATGGAACCATTAACTCAGAATAAAACTGCAATGACAAAGATAAAGAAACTGACGAAACCAGGATAAACTGTCAAAAAGACAGACTGTAAGTCTAAACAATTAAACTATTAAAATCAATAAAATGAGATAACCATGCAACAGGAAATCAGTTTCTGAAATACTAAATATATAAAGTAAAAAATAAAAAAAAATAAGGATGTAAACTGAAAGAGTAGAAACTGAAGTCCTTTGAAAAACTTTCAGCAGTCAATTGGAGTTGTTTGTTTGAATTAGGGTCTTTTATTAAGCAAAGATGTGTGAAATTTCAGTATGTGGACATGATTTGGGAAGAAGTGATATGGCTGGAGTATGGCTGTAGCAGAGGATAATGCTTTTAAAAGAGCTTTAATAGCTTCAAGTGATGACATAAGGGGAAAAAGTTTCTTATGATTTAGGACATTCTCATAAAAAATTCCCAAACCACAGGGTGAATCAATGGTAGGCGAAGCTTACAGGAAAAGGAATTATCATAGCAGTCTCTAAAGTCCTCACTGCCAGTCAGAAAACCCATCTGATGTTTCTTCAAAGCATATTTTAAAAACTGGCACAGAAGTACAGTATCACTGGGAATTTTAACTATCTGGACATTTGAAAGTATCATTATATTTTACAGATAAGGGGAGTGATAGGTTAAATGCTTTAGCCAATGTTATACAGCTTGTAAAGTGGAGAAAATAATTAGAATTAAGGTCTTCTTTTAGTCCACTGCTATTTTCACTCAACTGTTTGGACCATTAAGAGCATTAAAGATGAACTACAATACACAATATTAAAAATTTAGCAAAAAAAGCCACACCACAAAGCAACAAAAAAGATAAGACATTAGAAAATCTTAACAGTAAATGAGAAAGACCTGAGGTTTCAATACTCTCCAAATTGACTATAAGCCTACAAAAAAACCACAGTAGGGCAAAGAGGCTAGTGAAGAATTTGGACACACTGTCCATATAAAGAATAATTGAAAAAGATATATTTATCCTAAAATAGGAGAAACTTTGTAGGGGTGGGTGGTTGGAAGGGTCAGTCCATGGTAAGTTGACTAGGTCTTAGAAATATATGAAGTGGTACATTATGTTGTAGTGAGCTGACTGGTGGACATATCAAAAAGATATGTCCATGTTCTAATTCCCTAAACCAATAAAGGATCTTATTTACAAAACTTTTTTTTTCACATCTTTGGAGACATAATTAAGGTTAAAGGTCTTAGGATGAGGAGGTCATCTGGGATTATATGGGTAGGCCTTAAATTTCATGCAAGCGTCCTTATAAGATACACACAAAAGAGAAGACAGATACAGAGAAGGCACCTTGAAGATGGAAGCAGAGATTGGAGTCATGTAGCCACAAGCCAAAGGGGCCCTCAACCACTAAAAGCTAGAAGCAGCATGGGACAGAGCCTCTGCAGACACCTTGGTTTTGAACTTCAGGCCTCCAGAACTGTGAAGGAATACATTTCTGTTGTTTAAGCCACCAAATTTGTGGTAATTTGGTAGGCAGCTCTATGATGCTAATACATATATAGACTAGAGATAGATTTCTGTGCAAAACAGGGTAAATATAAACATAAGATCAATGGATTATATACATGGGGGCAGATGATGGCACATGTTAAATTACAAACATTTTATTATACCTGCCCGCATTGTAACAAGTTATCTTCCCATGTGGATGTTAAAAGGGTAATTCCTACGTCTGGAACAATGACTTAATAATCTCTAAGGACCTTTCCCATTCTAAGATTCTATGTATATCAATAATAGTTAAAGTCAGAAACCTATTATTCATTTTTAATCTTTTTTATTGAGATATAATTGACATATAACAGTTTCAGGTGTACAACATGATTCAGTGTTTGAATATAATGCAAAATTATTGTTCAATATTTAACACTGACCATGGTAGTAAGATCAAATAGTAATAAGTTAAAAAATTATTATCCTGTATAAAAACAGAAAACAAAGAGAAAAATCTTAATTCACAAACACCCTAATGATGACTACATACTAAGACCCTCATAGACACTTAACATGTATCCAAAAACTAAAATACGTCTGTTTAAGTGTATGACCAAGTTTTGGTTCAACTTTATTTTAGACTGTAACTGGACAACAGAAACTTCGAAAAGGGGCAATTTTAAAAAGGTACACCATCCACATATTACTTTGCTTTCATTAAATTGTCATTTAATGGATACTTGCTTCATGAAGGTATTGCTAAAAATTTCTCATTGGTTTTAAGTGGAGTCTAGTCACATCAATAATGAAGTTTTGATTATTATTGCTTTGTAGTATAAATTGAAGTTAGGGAATTTGATACCTCCAGACTTGTTCTTTTTTCTTAGGATTGCTTTGACTATTCAGGGTCTTTTGTGATTCCATACAAATCTGATGGTTTTTTGTTCTATTTCCTTAAAAGAATGCTACTGGGATTTTGATGGGGATTGCAACTGAATCTGTATATTGCTTTGGGTTACGTAGCCACTTTAACTATGTTGATTCTTCTAATCCATGAACATGAAATAGCTTTCCATTTCTTTGTGTCTTCTTCAATTTCTTTTAATAATGTCTTGGGATATCACAGGGGAGATCCAAGATGGCAGAGTAGATAAACACTGTGCCTGCCTCCTTCCGTGAACACACTAAAATTACAATTAAATTATAGAACAATCTGAAGTCTAGCTGAACAGAAGTTTTATAACTAAGGATATAAAGAAGAAACCATGTCGACACTGGCAGAAGGGGCAGAGATGTGGAACAGGCAGCCCCACACCCATGTGTAGTAGTTGAGAATCAAGAGGGCTATCTCAGCCATGGAGTTTTCAGTGTATAGGTCCTTCATATCCTTTGTTAAGTATATTCCTAGGTATTTTATTCTTTTTGTTGCTATTGCAAAATGAACTGTTTTATTTTTCATTTCATTTTATGAAATTTCATTGTTAGTATATAGGAACGCAATGGACTTTTTGTACATGGATTTTGTATCTTGCAACTTTACTGTATTTGTTTATTGTTTCTAATAGTTTTTTTCACATAGTCTTTAGGGTTTTCTATATAAAGAATCATGTCATCTGCAAAAACTGACAAAAAATAATAAATGGTAATAAATGACACAGTAATAATAAAAATGAATAATAAATATAAATAAAAAATAAATAATAAAAATGAATATGTGCCAGCACTGTTTGGAAAAAAAATAATGAAGATTTCAAAAACATTCTTTTGGTGGTTTCATAGCCTAAGTTTTGATATGTAATAAAACATATAGAGCCAGACTGCTTCTATGTCATAATAAAATAACAATTAAAGACTCCCATCACCTGTTAGACAATTTTGGGGAGAGGTATAAATACTGGATTCCCCTGGCTTCTTTAGGCATTTGTTGTGGGTTTTAAAATAGCGGTTAAGAAGCAAAAAAGGAATAAGTGAACGACTCAATATTTAATTAAAAAGACTCAGCTATATAAAGAGAGCTTACCTGTTCTGTTTCAAAGATGTCCCGAAGGTGTTCAAGGCCAAGGCTTTTTAGGAATTGGCTGATATTCATGTCAAGACCCGCAACTAAAACAGACATATATTAAAGTTTCTCAGAAAAACAGTTTATCAGTCTAAAGGAAGTTCCAGTATTTTTTTTAAGCCATGGCTCTCTGATACGCCTAGCTGTGCAGATGATTTTCCATGTGTAAAATAATCCTAAATTTCATTCACAAACTTCAAGTTATTTCTGAAATGGTTGAGAAGTAAAAGGAGACTTTATCTTTATCAAATCAGTAGTATTTTTATATTAATTTTAATATTATAGAGCATAATCTAATGCTTTTAAAGCAATATTTAACAGTGAATATAGAATTCCATATTTACTTGCTATCATTTCAGTTTTCATTCCTTAAATAATCTCTCAGTTTTCTCCTGATATATTTCAGGCATAAGACTCACTCAGTAGTCCAATAAGATACTATGGTTGGAAATGGATGTACTGGGATATACATAAGAACAATGTAGACACCAAGAAGCTTATTCTATTAAGACATATTTCTTATAAGGTGTTGTGTAGATGAAAACGTACAGATAAGGTATCTGTGAGATGTTCATAAATTACCAATAGAAAAAAGTGACTCTGTAATTATAAACACAAAAGACAATAACCACATTAGCTTTCACAGAGTATACTTGCCTTCTCCTTCCTTCCTTTCTGTGCCGGCAGCACCATCCCCCGCGTTGGACGCGCCTCCTACTGCCAGTTCTGCTAAAGGGCCTGTGAGGTTATCTATGCTGCTGGCAGCGGACAGGCAGGATGGGGTGGATGCTGGCGAGATTAGAGAGGCACTTACTACGGTAGCCTGAGGCTTAAAACAAGTCGGTAAGGCCTCTGGAGGCATAGCATCTATCAGCAAAGCTCTGATATCGTCAGCCTAAAAACAATAATACAAAAAACACAGAAAAATACATTTTAAAGAGGTAAGTTTTTTACTAAGGACCAAGTGCTTTGCGAATTTTTTCTTTAATAAATGCCTCATTATCTCCTATTTGGTTTTAATAATCTCGTCCTCTTTCCTTCTCTGATCCAACAGCTCCAAAGAGCCTCAGTAATTTCAGTAGTTAGAACTGGAGAAACAATATAATTAAACAAAAAATTCATTTTTTGAACATCCAGTGTACAGCTTGATGATTGTAGTTAAGAATACTGTATTATGTACTTGATACTTGCTGAGCGTAGATGGTGTTCTTACCACACACACACACACACACACACACACACACACACACACACACACAGAATTATGAAAAAAAATCTAACAATGTTGTCTACGTTGATTCCTCAAAATGCTTTTTTAACATTAAGTGAAAAGTGTACACACAATTGTTCATATTGATTTCATGTGTATTTAAAGGAGACATAAGTTAATACAGATTTAAATCGAGTTAAAAAGTGAAATATTACATCTTTCATTGAAAAAAGGACATTTCAGTGTTGATTTTCAATCTTTTCTTTAGAAGGAGTTTCCATATTTGTTTACTATGTTTTATTTATGCTTAAACAGCTACAATAATTTTTGTTGTTATTTAGCGCCCACTTAGTTTAATGTACAATTAAAATCTGTACAATTAAAATTTTAAAGGGACAGCACTTTAATTTGGCTAGCCTAGTCACAAACTTTATAGTTTGTTAGGCATAACTGCTCATAGAGGATGTGGGAGATGGCCTCCAAAGACAGCCAGCCATTAACCCCTTCCTCCGTGTACACGCACACCACTCCTCCCATCAAGAGTAGTGTCTATCTCCCTTCCCAGGAATCTGGGTTGCCTGTGAGTTGCTGTGACCAACAGAATGGAGAGGAAGTGATGTTTTGAGGCTTTTGAGCCAGGCTATAAAAGGACTGGCAGCTTCTACTTTTTCTCCGTTGGAAGCCATCCTCTATGCTGTAAAGAAGTTTGGGGTACTGAGTTGATGGCATGCTATTATATGTAGAGAGGCCAGTAGGATTTAAGGCCATTTAGACATGGCAGCCTCAGCTGAGGTCCCTGCTAAAGATAAGTGTACAAACAGCAGAATTACCTAGCTGAACCCAGTCAACCCACAGAACTGACAAATAAATCATTGTAGTAAGCCACTCACTATATTTTGAAATTGTCTGTTACTTAGCAACAGACATATGACACAGAATGTATTTCTGACTTAAAAAACTATAAAGTATTGTGTATATACACAGTAACTCCCTGATTTTCAGAAAGTTCAGGGAAGATGATGCTGTGTTTAATTTTGTAGTTACATAATATTTAACCACAAAAACTTAATTCTTGGTTTTGAAAACATTTCCACTGTACATCAGTTTATTTTCCGTCTTTAGAAGAGTAATATACTGCCCAGAAGTTCATTTTTCTTTGACTATCTCAAAACCTCAGGTAAATTATCATGAACATCAGTTCTCTACAATAATATGCCAAATGTAGGTGTAAGATATTGTACTAAATGTAATTCTTTTAGGATACACTATAGATACGTGTTTTTCTATGATTCATCTTTCCCCTCCAAGTTAAGTATGGCAAAATGAATTAAGGTAACTTACCACTTAGTTTGCCTTAACAGAGTTTTAAATTATATATAAAAAAAACAAACTTAAGAAATTTCAGAAGGAAGGAAATTTGTTTTATTCTAAGTGAAATATGCACTACTAAAGTTAAAGCTGCTGAGCCCTGGAATTTAATGTCATCTCTGAAAGTATAATAAGCAATTCTGAATATTTTGAAATCAGGACTTACTGTTGCCAGATCTAAAGGTGTCTGACCTTCTTGGTTCTTCATAGTAGGATCTGCACCATGTGCTAGGAGGAGGGCACATAACTGGGTCCTTCCTTTTTGGGCTGCTTCATGAAGAGGAGTAAATGCCCACTTATCTGTTGCATTTACACATGTGTTGTATTTTATCAATAATGCTGCTATGTCCACATGCTGAAGAAAAATAAAAGAATGAGAACAGTTAAGAGTGAGATGATCTGGTAAAGCTCCATCACATACACTCACTTTCATTTAACATTTCATGCCCTCTACATCATTATTCTCATCCTTAATAGAAGTTTATTTTATAAAAAAATAATATTTATCCCACCCATCTCCCTGTATTTTGGACTCTATCTTTCCTTGCTGCTTCCAAAATATCAGTTCCACAATTATTCTTTTCCCCTGTAATTCTAATTCTTCATGGGAGCATTTAAAAATTTTTTTCAGCCTTCTAACATGTTCAGGCCTGTTTTAAAAACAAACACATAAAATGTAATTATGACCTAACTCCAAGTCTCCTATTAATGGTCTAATCGGTCTGCCAACCTTTTCAAACAAGCATTCTATACCAACAGCTCTCTTATCTTTCTCTTCTAACCCCTTGCAATCTGATCTATTTATTGAAACACTCATCTCAAAGCTTCTCAATGCTCTGTCTTCAGCTTTTGGGAAGACAACATAACACAACCAAACATTTACAAAAATTGGTCTGTCATGTCCAAAATGATTTAGGGAGTGAAGGAAATGTCAGCAGCAGACACGTTAACTAATAACCTGGGCATGAGATGATGAGATTCTGAACTAAGATGGTTAGCGAAGAATGAAAAAGAAGAGCTAATTTACAAATTTTGAAAGAAAAAAATATTGGGTTTTAAAAAGACTAAATTAATTACAGAGGAAGAACGAGAAGAAAAGTCAATTAAAAAAATTTGGTCTAAGGGCCGGCTGAGTGGCTCAGTTGGTTAAGAGCTCGCTCAAGAGTTTGAGCTCTGAGCAACAGTGGTTCGATTCCCAGCCCGAGCTGAGCAGCCGTGAGCTGCCAACAGGTGGCGGGATGGCTCAGCTAAAAAAAAAAAAAAAAAATTTGGTCTAGAAGATTAAAAAACAAATTTAGTAACATTTAACAGAAATTGAGTAGCATAAGTTTAAGTAGGAATGAAACTATAAGAGGGATAAGGTCCACTTGGGGTACATAGTTTCTGAGGTAAAGTGCCAAAGTAATGATGATCTGTAAATGGTCTGACACAAAAGGTTGGAACACAGACAGGAGGGCGTCATTTATTTGTTCACTTCCTCTCTCTTACCCACTCACCCACCAACCAAACATTTACTGAGTGACTACCTAAGTGCCTGGTACTGGGAGTAGGGACTCAAGGGTGATGACAAAATGGAATATTAAGTTGATAGTTGTAGCTACTTGATAAAGGAGCTCACTAAGAAAAGGAATACAGAAAGATAATCACAAGGGGTTTGATAAAACTTTGAAAACAGTATTTTGGAAAGGAGAGTGGAAGACAAAATGGGCAATAAGAACTGCAGAAGAACTAACGAGAGGCAAGACTATGGACAGCAATGTAGGAGAAAGCTTCAAGGAGAGCACGTTCTTTCAAATAAGAAGTTCTGTATAGCGACAGGTTTCAGCTTCTTCCCCAAAGCCCTTATAAAATAAGCTTAAGACTATGCAAAGGTAATACTGATTCAATGATTAGGCTTTTGAGAATAATACAAATACCTTTATTCTTATAAACACATTTAGGGATACCAGTTTGGTTACCACTAAAGTATTTCTGAAATCCATTTCAATTCCAATATTCTACAATTTTGTGCAATTGGCACATGTGTGATCTATATGAATATATTTCCTGGCATAACTTGATTACTTTTGATAATTAACTCTGAAGCACATTATCTGCTGAGAATATTTCTAACTCATATTGTTGCTCAACTACAATATACTGAGTTATCTGAAGCTGACTTTCAGGAGAATAGGAAGAGATGAGGAAGGAAAAGACAGAAATATGTCAAGATGGGATTCAGGGCACGTTTCTTCATATTTTGCTTAAGACAGTCTTTGCTCTCTTGAAGAAAAGGCTCTTTTTTCTAAGGTAGTGTTAAAGTTTTTAAAAACCATAATACAAATTCTTATTAATTTTCTGAAAAGTAATTTCAGAAAACAAATTTGTATTAGAAAAATACAAATCAGACAACTTAAAGCTTCCATATTTACTTTGACAACATAAAGACAAAAAAAGGAGCAGAATTAGATTAGGGCTTCTGAGAACAGGCTGTGTTTTGTGATCTTTTTGGGATTATGACTGATATATCATTATAAAATTGATCTTCACACAAAAGATAAAATATCATCTGTGGTACTATCAAAATCACTTAGAATGAAACCTAGTGATTTATCTCCCCTATTCAAAGGATATATGCCGAAAAGAACAGCTATTTTTGTTGAGTGGACCTAAAAGCATGGAATAATTTCAAGCTTCTTCCACAGGAAGGTTACAGGCTATTTAAATTGTGTTTCTGATGATTAATTTTATTCTATTCTCATGTGTGTTCGCAGAATAATATAATTTGGTAGACTAATTTGTACAGGCTTCCAAAATTAGATAGACCAAAGAAAATTATGTGTGTGTGTAAAATGAATTATATATATATATATGGTATGTATTATTAAACTTTCTTTTATTAAATTCATAGTTTATGCTTGGAGAAACCAGTTACATGCTTTTTAAATTTGCTGAGAAACATCTGAAAGAACTATAAAGAGGAAGGAGTGTATTACTACCCAAGTATACTAAAATCACAATTCTTTGTCTTTTGAATAGCCACACCACTGGGGCAAAAATGGTAACTGAAATTTAAAGCTGACAAATGCAACAAACAAGCTACAGCCCAGCTCTGTACAACATATAAGCAAAGTATTGAACTAGAAAGTCTAGAAAAGGAACTGAGATCTTGGAATGTTCCCAGGAGAAAGAGTCCACTTAATATAGTTTCAGAATCCAGCTGCAACACAAAATGCTTTAAATGACAAATACAATGTAAAAAGACTGAGAGGGCCTGAATTTAATGAAGGGCGAGGAAGAAGAGAGTAAGAGAATATGGCAATCGTGGTGACTGGGTTTTACTTATAGTTCGTCAGGCTTTGGCAAATGCAGAAACTGTCCTCATCAGTAGTGATTCCAACTGTGAGGAGCCCTGGTACGTACAATTTGGAATCTGCAGATTTTTACAATCAAATAGGGACTAAGTGGATGAACAGACAAGCGCACGAGCTTTCATTTTATTCCTGTGTGATTCATTAGGCCTGAAGTGGGCCTTGGTGACTCCCAGTCAGTTTCAACACATGGCACCGCGGCTGTGCAATACATTCCTCTTCCTCTTCCAGCTGATGATTACAATGAAAGTGCTTGAGAGAATGACTCTGGCCTTTCACTGCAGGGCTTTAGCTAGTCATTCAAACTCTATGAAACCATATATACTAACGACTCAACCATGTACTTGAATATTTTTTAAATGTTGTCGATACACATAAGCAGCCACAATTTCCATGCCTAAAAAGGAGCTTCCCGGCCTTTACAGTTTCTAAAATCTACTTGAGGTAGAGTTAAGATTTATTATTTAAGTCAATAAATATTAACTGAGCAGCTATCACACACCTATCATTGTGCTAGATAATGTTGAAGAGACCAAAAGGCTACAAAAACATGGTACTTGGCCAAAATAGTTAAGCTTAACTGGGAAGGCTAGAAACATTCTGAATAGAAGATTATAATTGTGGTCACTTACACTACTGGTTAGATATTTACTTAATTCATGCATAGTATATACATTTAATAAAGCAGTAAATGCCAGTGAAGTTTTCTAGACTTGAACTTTAGCATGCTCACCCCATAGGATGCTGCATTATGAAGAGGAATTAAACCACCTTTGTCTTGGGCATTGACATCTGCTCCATGCTCTAGAAGATATTCAGCTACTTCCAGGTTATTGTAGCCTGCTATTAGAGTGAAAAAAGGCAAACATGTCAGCTGATAAGAAAAAAAAAATGTGACTGTATAAATAAGGAATATTAAAGTTTAATATTTCTTGCTTTATAAGCTAATCTATTATCACATAATTAAAAGCCTTCACAATAAGAAATTATATAAAATAATGTCAATCAAAAGCATTTTACTAAATAGTACTCTTTATGCTCAGCATTTGTTTCATCTCCTGGTAATCTGTATTAGGTATCAAAGAAAGGACTGTGAGACTTGACGTGCTGGTGATGCTTACCTGCCAGGTGCAAAGGGGTTGAATTTCTGCCCTGGGTGTCTCTGCAGTTGATATTCTCTGGAGTACAGAGCTTCTGCACTCTTGCCAGGCAGCCCTTCTTGGCAGCATCCAACAAGGCAGCATCTCCTCTCAGTAAGTCCTGAATATCTGTGTCTCCTTCTTTTACCAAATCTAAAGGTGTATTTCCATCTCTGTTCTTTTTAGTTGGATCTGCTCCATGCTGCAAAGAAAAACCAGATGGAATATGTATTTTCTGTAGTATCTTCCTTAAGGTTATTTATTTTTAACTTCATCTTCACTCATCCAAGGAAAGATGTCTATTCTACATGTATTTTGAACAACAGAGGCAATATCTTGTTCTATTTTGCAGATTCCCTACTTAGCAATATACTGGATCAGCTTTCTAGCTACTTCTCAACAAAAGCCCCAAGCCTCAGGATCAATGGTGACAGTGAAGTGGGGAAGGTGCCGAGTACCTTTTACGTGTCATCTGATATACTTTCTCAGACTCTAAGCTGTCTTTGGAAATGTCCTTTCCTTTTAAGAATGACCTTTCCATTAGGAATGTTAATTTTGACCAGATTTCAATTACATAGAGATATTCAATGGATATCGTGAAAAAGAAGTGAAAAAAGGAAGACATACAGGTAGAAAACGTACATAATTATAAATGGCAATCAGTAAGAAGAAAGTTGGGTAATTTTAAAATATTTTCATTATAAGTCTTAACACCTATCATGAAATTAGGTATAATGTATTAACGATTAATTTGATTTTATAAGTTTAATCACATAGATCTATGAACTAAAAGAAATAAAAGTCAAGAATCTTTATTATGGGCCTGACAGTCTGCTGTTAGCCCACTGGAGAAATCTGGAATAAACCAGCCAGCCCACTGGAGAAATCTGGAATAAACCACAGTACACAATGAATTCACAGTGACCTGGAAGTTATTTCTTACTAACCAGTGATAATAAAAATGAGTATCTAATACAAATAGTCTCAAGACTCATAAGAACATATTTGATACCATAAAAGTGGTGGAAGAAGAATTTTATTGATATTTAACAAGTTTTTCTCTAGTTAAAAAACTACATATATACATTGGTCATTTTTCACATCCTTTAAAAAGAACACAAAATTATTGAATTAGTTTCATATAACTACTAGTTTCTACTATTTCATGTATACCTCCAAAATTTATATGAATAATTTTGTTTAGAGAATATCTTATATTTTAATAAAAACCTGATATTAAAATAGTTTTAAGATATATGTTTAAATAATGTTTAATAACGATGATGAGTTTGTTAACAATAATAAAATAGGCAGCAAGAAAAAAAATCAAACTTGATCGAAAAACTTATTTCTCCTTGTACAAATGTTTTCTGATAGTAATACTGTTAGTATTAGATAAGCAATGCAAACTAATTCAACACTTTCCAAAACCTACCTTGATGAATAGTGACAAATTGAACTTAATCAAATCAGTTCAGAAAGGCACTTCAGACACTACTCAAAGCTGTATAAGTATCATGATGTGACACTTAACCATCCCCCTAGAGTGGAAAATGAAAGCCGTCTCCACAGCACTTATTGTACTTAATAGAATAATTTACTTTGATGTAATTTTATGTACTAACCAAAAAATAAATACTTTATATTTTATAATTTTTAAAATTACATACTTTTAAAAGGAGCTTGCAGATTTCATATTTTCCTTTAGCTGCTGCTTCATGTAGAGGGGTAAATTTCCATAAGTCCGCCACATTGACAGAAGCCCCATGCCTTACTAAAAGCTCAGCTACCTCATAGTGTCCATATGAACAAGCATTATGAAGGGGCACCAAGCCACTAAACAAAAGAAAATTATTTTAAAGACATTTAACAAATTGTTGAGTTAAAATGCTACTTATAAAAGTATATAAATAAAAATAATATATTTCTTCTACAGCATTGACTATACTGAAAGCTCACTTAAAAAGAAAAAAATTCTCCTCTGGTCTTGAAGATAATAGTCATCCATTTCTGAATACGGATTAATAATTTCAAAAATGTCCCTTCCAATATAAGGAATTCCTTAGTTTCTTGGTGACGGATATAAACTACATAGAAACATACATATATACCGGAGGTGCTAAAAAAATGTATACACATGACTGTATTCATCTTTTGTTATCAGTACATATTATTACAATTTTAATACTGTTTTTTCCTTTCTTAAAATGTGTATACATTTTTTGGCACCCTCTGTATATGTATATGTATATATGTACACGCACACACACCTCCATAGAAAAAGGTTCCATTACAATGCTTTTAATTCAGGTTTCATCATGGCAATATAAAGCAACACTACAAAGTGATTTCAGGAATAACCAATCAATAATCTGGTTTATCATCTCTCAGATTTTCTTCCATTTGGGCTTTCCTAATGAAAACTGCATGCTTATTTATAAAATATACAATGCGATTTACCTTATTTATTTACGCAAGTTCTACCTTTTGATTTTGGTTTTTATTATTTTTGGTTTCTGTGCATAGGTTTAAATATTTAGACGCCAAGCAATGAAACTCATAATCTAAGTGATACAGAAACTTCAGTATTCAGTAAGGAAAATAATGGTGTCAACCATAAACTCTAGTTAGGAGAGAAAATCTGTCTTCCTCATTAATGAGTAAACTATTCTGAGATGATTCTAAGTTCTGGTTAAAAGGTAGCTGACATTCTGAAAGGACAAAAAATGTCCCCATAAAAAAGGGTCCATTAAAAGGATAAGTTTAAGTTGCACTTAAGGAAATGTTAATGTTGTAATCTTTAGGAGGTGGGGGTGATATGGAGTTTTCACTTTCTATACTATACATTTCTATAACGTTTTAATTTATGCTTTAGACTTTAAGAAAATACGCATTACTTTTTTAATACGGAAAAAAACCAAAGACTTCAAGAATATCAAAATAAGTTTTTTGAGTCTTGAGAACAAATCCCATGAAACTGAGTTCTAACACCTACCCTTTGTCTTTGGCATGGACATCGGCACCGTGGTGTAGGAGGTACTCCACAACAGACACACGATTATAGCCTGCCGCAAAGTGCAAGGGTGTAGAATGCCGGCCCTCCAAATCTCTGCAATTCACATTTTGAGGGCTGCAAAGTTGCTTTTATGGCAGAAACACAGACAAACACAAAAAGAACATTAATACTTATTCATAGAGTTGCTCCAAAATACTATAGGTATCTTGGATAAACTATAATTTTCTACTGACTGTTTATTTCCAAAGATTAGATAATACAAGTGATGTTTAAAAATCAGTACTATGCTGGGTTTTACGTGTCTACAAATATTCTTACTGTTTATAGAGCAATGTAATCTTTTTCAACATTTCCTGGCCAAAATCGTAATCAAAAAGAAAAGCCCGTAATAAAGCAAGCATTTGCAAGGAAACTGAACTGATGCCTTCCTTTTTTTTTCTTTATATGGCTTTCCTCCCTGAGACTGCTTGTCACAGCATGTCTGCCTGTATAATACTAGCATGCTCTTAGCCATTCTTTGCTCAACAAATACCAACCCTGGTTGACTGCAGAACTACCCAGAATTCTTGTCTTCTCTGACGTGGCAAGCAAAAAGGTTCTGGAAAAATTATACTAATACTGCCTGGGCCACCCACTTGGCCCACTGATCCACTATAACAAAGCCACCAGTCCACAGTGCTTTACTTGATCTTTGGGGAAATGTTTGTGTAACTCCACCAGTCAAACTGATTCTAACCATATTCTAGAATTTGGCCTTTCCTTCCTCCTCCTTCCGCTGTGCCCTACCATTTCAGCACAAGCTCCGTTCTGTTTGATTACAAAGCAGTAGGAAGCAAAGTGAGGACTGACAGGCTGCATCAGCAGTGGTGACAGATGAATTATAATCATATTTGAGCAGTAATTTACAATTTATAAAACAGTTCATATTCTTTCAGTGAGAGAATTACTATCAGTGAAGTTGATTATCATCTCCATTTTACAGATAAGTAAACCAAGACTCAGCGAGGTTAAGTGACATCCTTTTTCATAGAGTTGGTAAGGGGTAGAATAAAGACTCAAATCGTGTTTTCCTGATTATTAATCTCTTGATCTTTTTGCTACATGGTTGGTTACTTTCTTAGTTACCGAAATTCAGGGAAGTGATGAGAAGGAAGGCAATGAAAAGGCTACAAGTTATGATGGCAAGGGCTTTCAAGTATTTGACAATTTTGCTGCCGCTCCTGCCACTGTAATGAGCTATTATTTAAAAAATTAAGAACCTGGAAGATATCTGTTTCTACTGATATACTAAGTAGGGGCTTTCACAATAGGAGAGTAAAAACAGGTAGTATAATTTTTACATGACAGAAGGAAGTCTGGGCAGTATAAGGGAGGCCTTCAATTTAATCAACTCTATGTGGAAAACCACCAGACACTAAATTCTGAAAAGCCATTGTTATCTGGCAAGGTCAAATACACATCTTTTCATGACAAGTGAGTCTGTGGCTACATTAACACATAAACTAGAGAATAAAAAAATTAAATAGATGTGAATAAATTAATACATAAACTAAAAAGAAAGACTGCAGAAATGTGTAGTAAACACCAATGGTGTCTTACATGATCGAAGCTGCTTCCTGCTTCTGCTAATTTTACTTCTGGTCTTATTTTCTAAATTAATTTTTAATTTTTTTCAGTGAATACTGGCAAAATAGGGTTGAGGGAGGGAACAAAGAGATATAACTGATTTTGCCAGGTTATAAAAATAAAAGCTCATTCTGCTTATTAAATATTTGCTTTTTAATATTTAAAAGTTCTTTATTTAGTCTTTAGTCTGTTTCACTTTCTTTCTGAATGCCAAAGCATTTTACGCCCTTCCTACTGGCTTTTCATAATTTCAAATCTGTTACTCAGCAAACAGCCTTTTCTTCTAATATCTAATTTCTAATACTTTCTAAAGCCTCTAGGGAAAGAAATTTATCAGGCTTTATTCTCACTTAATTTGTGCTTTGTTTTCTACTGCCACTTCGATTCCATTCAAGAAAATATAGTTGGCCTTTACTGTGAATAGACTGTTTAGAAAACCTGAAAGCTGCTGTATATTTGCCTTTTACATACAAAACGGAGTAACAAATGTTACTTTACATTAAAAAAATAACTATTAATTTAATTATAATGGGTACATGTAGCAATTCTAGTGCTGAGATTATCATGCTGTGATACAAAAAAGGGGTTCTAGTCATTTTTATATTCAAAGATTTTCTTTTATTAGGATACATTTCAAATGATAAAATATTTTTAAGAAAAAATACATAATTTTAGATCTAAAAGAACTTTAAAATTTCTCCCCAGTGGCTACTACAACTGAAATTTACTATTTTTATTTAAATAATTTAGATGTTATTGTAAGTTGAGAGGTTGGAAGTGGCCACATATTGAAACAAAAATAAAATTTCTAAGCAACAGAGCTTAGAAAGTGTTTGTCATTTTCAATCAGTGTTATGTCATCAAGAGAGCTAAAAGTAGTTTACTATAAATCACAAAAATAGGGTTTGCTTACTAAGAAGTGACATAGTTTTGTTTGTAAAAGATAACCTGGTATGACTGTCAATGCCAATACTGCAATTAGCCTTTCTTAAAAAAAAAAAAAAAAATATATATATATATATATATAAACAAAACCACAAGACTAAAAACCATACCCGTTTCTGCTATCTTCACCCCTACATGAATGATTATAGATGGAAGTCTGTGTTTTTAAAAAGTACATTCAATAGTAGAATATAATTTTTATTTGAAAAACATCAAATCTATAACCATTATTTCTATGCCACAAATAAAACTGATAAAATTTTTTTAGCAAGCAGAATTACACAGAAAAGAAAATCCATCTTTTGCACGTCAATTATTCCAAAAGGTTTTCAGAATCATAATACATTCCTAGAGGAAATGTGAGAATCTCTTGAAAAAGTTCAAGAAACACTGTTTGAAACATTATTGCACTATAATCTGGGCTTGAACTAGCTCAGAAATTTATGAATGCAGCCAAAAATAACACTTTAATTAATACAAGTAAAAGTAAAAGCGCTTTCACATAACTAGAAGAAAAGTGACTAAAACATGGTTTAATGAATAGAAGGCACATACTAGGAAGTCTTTTATGGTTAAAGCTCTCTCCTGTTTATGGATCTACTCTGTTCATCCCATTAGTTGTTCGGATTTGAGTAGTTTCACAAGCTTCACAAGCTTCAAATGACTTGGTTAGCAAAGGTTCAAGAGTCATTAAAAGCACTGACTTACCTTCACAGTTTCCAAGTCTCCAGCTTTAGATGCCTCTAAAAGTCGATAGTCAACATCCGAAGTACGGATAGGTGTACTTTCTGCATAACAGGAAGGAAAGGTAACTGGTTTTTAAGGAATCATAGTAGTTAAGGAGGGAAAATTATTTGGTGAATGCAAAGAGAGATACTAAGGGGTCAGATTCTGAAATGTAAGTAGGGTTTTCTTCCCAGTCTTTTTCAGATAAGAAATAAATGGTTTCTTACTTCAGTCTACATACACATCCTAAGCCAAATTTAAATAAATCCTAACACACACAAATCCTTCTCCATCCCTACTACTCTATCCTTCAAATTTTCTGGTCAAAACTTTGGGCAAAGGGGAATGAAGAAACAGGACCATGAGATCAAGAACATCTTTCCATGATCTTAGAAAATATAATCAGTGTACAAAAAAAGGTCTACTATTATAAATACAGAAATTTGTTTAATTCACATTTATCGAATGGCTTCAGGGAAATGCAATTTAATAAAATGTCTGTATAATTGGGAGGTGTGATACAAATGCTAAGTAGAATATAATTAAATTGAGCTGTTAAGTCTACAAGTATGAGACTAATAAACAAGGTATTTTGATTAATCCAATATAAACAAACCAAGAATTCATTACACATTGGCCCAAGTAAAAAGGTTTCTAATGAAAATAATCTGGACTGTATCACACGAAGCACATTCATGGACATTAAGTGTGGCTTTTATAATGCACGTGTGTACACACTCAGATAACAAAAAAGGACTGAAGTCCAGGAGACCTGGATTTGCACTGGGTTCTTTTGACTGTGATGATGGACAAATCACTTCATAGCTTAGTTTTGGCACCTATAAAGTGAGTGCTGGTTTCCCTTAAATTCTCTTTCAGATTTAAGATCGCAATATCTTATGATCAGAGATAACCTATGCTGAGTTCACTGTCCAAATGGGAATATCAAGTGATGCTGAGAAAAAAGGTTTTAGGTTTCAGAAGATATACTTTGCCTCTTTCTAGTCTAAAGTGCTTTGTTTAGGAGAGATGCTTTTACACAGTAAGTTATGAGAGCTCTTCAATGGAAGAGAAACTGTATTTAATTTAGTCATAATAACAACAGCAGATAAAATGTTAAGATTAAAGGGAGGAAAAAGGAGAGTATGTCATAGAATAGAGTACATTTTTGAAATACCTACAATTATTTTTCTTTAAAATGGACTTTATTACATTTGTTAGTTTGTGGAAGCGTTGAGGCAAGGAATCGGGTCTTGCTCATCTTTATATTCCCTTTAACATGGAGAACATTCAGAAAGCATTTGCTGAAATGATTTCTATGCTATTTATATTGGAGTCAATGTGTATGTCAAATCATAGCTCTTTTTTTGGTTGCCCTTACTCTGTTCTTTCACGTCTCATTTGCCTCCATTCCAACTGTACATGACATTACACTTAGAGGTTGCGTATATTATGTATCTATGACAGTGATTCTGGCAGTTGGTAAAACTCACTGAAACTTTGGATATCTGTAAGTTATATTTTCAGTTTATCATTTCAGCAAAATAAAATGACAAATGTTTACGTATATAGAGTTAGAACTTTGGATATTTTCAGATTCTAGCATTTGAAGGACACAAATTAATATGACTGAATTTTTTTAATTCTAGGAACTATTTAAAGTTGGCACGTGTCTTGATGCAGACTGATTTGCAAAGGCTATAATTTTACAATCAATAAAAAATTTTCATGCAAATATAAGAATGGTTCTGAGAACTATGAGACATTCTTAGTCCTAGTTAAAGAGTAGACAGTAAAGAAGTTAAAGATACTGATTAATTACTATACAATTTATAGAGCTTTGCATCCATATAAATCTCAAACGGGCTTAGAACAGATTCATTTTTAGAAACAATGTGAACAAAGTATTAGCTGAAAGGATATGTAAACAGTCCAGGAATTTTGTACCAAGAGATGCACAATTAAAAGAAGGGATATAAAAATGAAGTTAAAAAGGAAACAGGCAAAAGAAAATGAGCTGATGTGCAAAACACTGTATCAGTATAATCCTTGCAGCACACAGGCTTTTGCAGGAAATGAAATTAAATATTTCACCTAGGGTCAAAGGCTTGAGATGGGCCTCTAATTTTTTCTCCAGTTCTATTCTGGCTCACCAGAATGAAAAAACAAACAAACAAAAAATCTGAAGTTTCCAAGGTTGAAAGGCAGTTTCCTATTTAAAAAAATCTCCTGTAGATGGGCTGTTAGTGTTAGATTACAGTACTGGCAGTGGGTCTAAGGGCTCATTCCAAGGTGCAAATGTAAACAGGGATTTCAGTGTTTAATTCAGCTTTCACAAGTCCTCAAATCCTTACCTCTGTAGGATTTGGTAAAAGCAATGCAATAACCATACTGGAATATGCAATCAGAATTCATGTCAAGGTCTGTTCAAAAGAACTGTCTGTGATGCTAGAAATATTCTTTATCTGTGCTGTCCAACACAGTAGCCACTAGCCACGTGTGGCTATTCAGTACCTGAAATGTGGCTAGTACAACTGATGATGAGATTTTAAAATTTTATTTAATTTTAACTAATTTACATTTAGCCACATGTAGCTTGTGGCTGGCTACCAGCTGGACACAGCAGATGCAGAGAAAGCAGGTCTAGAGAAAAAAGTGAAATCTTCCGAAACAATGTTTTAAAGTGCTGGTGTAGATATTAGCACCTCATCAGAGGTATTGTTTGCAAATATCTTCCTCCATTCAATTGGCTGTCTCTTTGTTGATAGTTTCTTCTGCTGTGCAGAAGCTTTTTTAGTTTGATAGTCCCATTCATTGACTTCTGCATTTACTTCCCTTGCCTTTGAGGTCAAATTCATAAAATCCTCTCAAAGCCCAAGGTCCATAAATTTAGTACCTATATTTTCTTTTATGCAGTTTATTGTTTCAGGTCTTATATTTAGGTCCTTAATCCATTTTGAGTTAATTTTGGTACATGGCAACAGGCAGCAGTCTAGTTTTATTATTTTGCATGTGGCTTTCCAATTTTCCCAGCACCATTTATTGAAGAGGCCTTCTTTTCTCCATTGTATGTTTTTGGATCCTTTGTCAAAAAATTATCTGCCCATATATATCTGGGTTTATTTCTGGGTTCTCCATTCTGTTCCACTGGTCTGTGTGTCTGTTTTTCTGCCAGTACCATGCTGTTTTGATTATTGTTGTGTTGTGGTACAATTTGAAGTCAGGGAGTGTGATACCTCTGGTGTTGTTTTTCTCTCAGGGTTGCTTTGGCTTTTCAGGGTATTTTAAAAAATTTTTTTATTGGGGAATTGGGGGAAGGGGAACAGACAAGTTGCTGTCGTTTTGTTCTTCAGTCTAGTTGTGGAGGACGTTGCTTCACTGGCCCAAGTTGGCACCATCATTGCACTCTTCCCGGGCAAGGCAGATCAGTCGCCGGCTTCTGGACGGCCGCTCACTGTGGCTGCTGGCCGCTCACGCTGGCTGCTGGCCACACATGGTAGCCCATGGCAACCCACTGCCACAGGGGCTGCAGCCTACGCCGTCGCTGGTGACCCACGGCAGCCCAGCTCCAGGTCGAGCTGTTGTTCAGCATCTTAGCTGTGGAGGGCAGTGTCACTGGCCCTCATATGTGGGATCCGAACCAGGGCCCTCTGGCGTCCCAAGCCAGTTCTTAACCATCGCGCCACTCGGCCGGCCCTTCAGGGTATTTTTTGATTCCATACAAATCTGATGATATTTTTTTTCTTTTATGAGTTCTATTTCTTTTAAAAATGCCACTGGGATTTTGGTGGGGATTGCATTAAATTTGTATACTGTTTTGGGTACTATGGCCATTTCAACTATGTGATTCTTTCAATCCATGAACACAGAATATCTTTCCATTTCTTTGTGATTTCTTCAATTTCTTTTAATAACGTCTTGTAGTTTTCAGTGTATAGGTTCTTTGCATCCTTTGTTAAGTTTATTCCTAGGTATTTTATTCTTTTTGTTGCAATTGCAAAAGGAATTGTTCTTTTCATTTTTTTCTTAAATTTCATTGTTAGTATATAGGAGCGCAATGGATTTTTGTACACTGATTTTGCATTCTGCAACTTTACTGTTATTTGTTTATTGTTTCTAATAGTTTTTTTGGTGGAGTCTCCATAAAATTCAACAACAAAATAACAATTCAATTAAAAAATGGGCAGAGGACCTGAACAGATACTTCTCCCAAGAAGACAAACAGACAGCCAACAGATATATGAAAAGATGCTCAACTTCACTAGCTATTAGGGAAATGCAAATCAAAACCACAATGCAATATCACCTTACAGTTGTTAGAATGGCTATTATCAATAAGACAAGTAATAGCAAGTGTTGGAGAGGCTGTGGAGAAAAAGGAACCCTCATACACTGCTGGTAGGAATGTAAATTGGTACAGCCACTATGGAAAAAAGTATGGAGGTTTTTAATAAATTAAGAATAGAATTACCATATGACCCAGCAGTCCCTCTTCTGGGTTATCTACCCAAATAATCTGAAAACATTTATCAATAAAGAGTATATGTACCCCAATGTTCATTGTAGCATTATTCACAGTGGCCAAGACATGAAAACAATATAAGTGTTCTTCAGTAGATGATTAGATAAACGTGTGGTATATATGTACAATAGAATTATTACTCAACCATAAGATGAAATACAGCCATTTGCTACTACATGGATGGATCTTGAGATTTTCCTGCTAGGCGGAGTAAGTCAGACAGAAAAAGTCAAGAACCATATGATATCATTCATGTCGGACATAAGACTGAAAGCAACAAATTAACAAGATAAACAAACAAACAAACAAAAACTCACACAGAAAGCAGTTTAGTGGTTACCAGTAAGGGGGAGGGGGAGGTAAAAGAGGGTAAAGGGGGTCAAATATATGGTAATGGAAGGAGAACTGACTTTGAGGTAAACACACAATGCAAAATAGATGATGTATTATATAACTGTACACTTGAAACCTATATAGTTTTATTAACCAATGCCACTCAAATAAATTTAATTTAAAAAATTCTGGTTTATAAAAAATTGCTTATTTTCGTTACTCTGACATTACTTTTGACATAAATATTGCCAGCAATTTACAATTAAAACTTTATTCTTTATTAATGTTGGCAACTAAAAATTTGGGAGCTGAAAATGAAGATTTCCAAAAGTGGCTCTCAAACTCAGCATAACAGGCACACTTAAACAAATCTTTAAAATGTTTCCCAGAACAGAATCCCCAAAACTTACTGTGCATCCTATATGATTGATGCATACTTTAAGCAGTCATTATAGATATAACCTGGAATTGGATTAGTTAATGTAGGTATAATTGGAAAGTTCAGCTAGTTCATGGTTCACAGACTATAGATATACAAGTTTCTCGTAGAATTATCAGTTTAAAAAATTATAGCTTCTTCCAAATAAGAAATAATTCCGATTTTTAAAAACCTTTTTAAGGATAAGACTTTACCATATAATTGTATTATTTGTATTATCTTTCCAGATCAACAAAGAATGTGAAGAATTAAACTAAAAAGTTCTGGCACGTACTAAATTAAGCACTTAATTACCTATATAATGTTTTATCTTACAAATCAATTTTTAAGGAGAATTATCGAAACTATTTCATGTGTGATTCAGTATTTAATTTTATAGTTTACCAGTAGTCATGTATTCTAACTGCATTCATTTAGAAGACACTTTAAAAGAATTAATGGATCTAATCTGCTTAATTTATTCAATCCTTTCCTCCCCATTTTGTATATTATCTCTAAAAATTATGTATAGTATTGTTAGAAATTTTGATGCAATATCTATGTTTGCCTGATTTATGGTTACAACTTACAGAATCTAACTTAAAATTCAGTACTAAATGGTTCTTAGTAAAAAGTTTAAGAAGAAAATTTCGAATATTTTAACAAAAATCACACCTTTTAGAAATTTTAAGAATTTATTGAGAAGGCAGAAACATTTGCTATCCAAGAAGAATTATCTTCTTTAAACAAATGTTCTAGTGCCCTGTAGAAACAGGAAGTTAAATAAGTCCTGTTTTCCATAGTTCAAGCTTGAAATCCTGTAATAGGAAATTCCATTCCTTCAGCTAGGTCTTACTTGTTTTGATAGCGAAGATATAGCCTAGTCATGTCTTACTTCAACTGGCTAAAGATCACCGTCTAAGACTGAAGTAGAATGATCACTACCTAAGAAAGAACTGGCATGAGGAAAGTAAATCCTACCAATAGCTTTCACAATGTGGCAGTGTTACTCTTATGAGGCTGGTGAGCTCTGATCCAGCTCTAGTAACACATACTGTGACCTCTGTAAGTCTGAAAAGGTCCCTTATTTCAGCGTATAGTAGTGATTCTCAACTGGGCTGTACTTTTTGGAGGCTCTTCAGAAATTTGTGGGGTTGATTTTTGTCTTCTAGTGTAATCACGCTCAAGTGATTACTATTATATTAATTATAAATTATTTTATTGTAACTTACTGTCATTTCCCTTTTTTAGGAAGGTGTCTGTATAGTTCGATCATATTATTATATTTATGGACTCATTTCTAGATAGTAATGTTATAAAATATTCATAATAAAAAGAGGGCACTGTGTCTGAGGGGTAAAGAACTACTGGACTATAGGAAGGAAAAAGAACTAGGACTGCTAATTTCTAGTCTGTTGCCTTCTCCATTTTAATTTTCCAGTTTATTATGTCATTCTGGAGCAGATATAATTCACAAACAAAATTAAGAAATGAGAAAGAAGAGTCAGCTGTATTAAATTTCTTTTGTATCAAATTCATCACTTTTCAGTAGGTGGATTGTGTTATTTTGTCTCATTTTTGGGTTTTGGAAACTAGTGTCTATTTTTGTATCAGTTTTATGTTTGATCTCCCTCAATAAGCTAAGTAAAGTATCTAGCACTGTAACACTCAGCCAGATTTTATAATTATACTTAAACCAGGAAAAAACAAGGTAATTTCATAAAAGTGCAATGAAGTTAAGAATTACAAAACACTGAGCAGAAGATCAGAATATAACACATGTAAGAACAATTAATTAAAGATCATTACCATATGAGTGATCTGTAATTTTCTCTATTTGATAGATTATAGAACTACCGTAATCACTGTTTATATGCGTTTTAAGTAACCTTTGAATATAACACGAGTCAGGTTTTTAATTAAAAACTAAAATTAAAGATAATATTTGCTTCCTTCTCATGACACCTACGTCACCTCACCAAAAAGGCTAATTAATGGACAGGGCCACAGGCTAAGCTACAAGCAAGGAAAGGCAGGAAAAATATTCAAACAACAATGAAAAAACATTCCAACAGCTGCTTAAAACAAAAGGCACAAAGTTTTTCTGTGTATACCAGTGGACGTGGAAGAGAAAGAAGAGAACGCAATGGTTATCTATTTTAACTCACCACTCAGAATCTGCTGTACTGCTTCGCTTCCCATCTGCGCTGCTGTAAAGCCTTGTAATGAGATAATCGACGGATCAGAGCCGTAACTTAGCAGGAGGCGGCACGTCTGCAGGTGACCAGCTAGGGCAGCTCTATGCAAAGCAGTCTGACCAAGAGTGTCCAGTGCATTCATCTGAAAAATCATTAGGTGGGCACATGGAATTGAGCATCAATTTTTGTTCCCTTTCATACCCAAGCAAATGAATTCTAACAAGAAAAATCAATTGTCAAAGCTTTTTGAAAATGCCACAGATTATTCATGAACTTTTTTACTTACTGGTTCTAAAGAAATATCTTCTTCTTAAGTTACTCTTCTCTGACCACCTTATTGAAAATCACAACTTATCTATCCTTCCCTGAATGCCCATCTTCCTGTTCATCTTCCACTCCCTACCACTTCCCCTGGCAACTAAGGTCTCTAAGGACCGGGACATTGTCTGATATCCACTGCCTATCACATCAAAGATGTTCATGAAATACTTTTGGATGAATGGGTTTACCAACTTTGTTCTCAGAATATAAAGACTACAGAATAGGGTAAGCAAAGATAGTCAAAGTAGTTCATTACATTTCTTTTTTAATTTTAGTAAATAAGTATAATAAAATAAGTATAATTGAATTACAAACACATTTAACCAAAAAAATGATTTGAAGATTCAAATGTTTCATTTTTAAAACTTTGAAGAGTTATAAAGAGTAATAATTTAGCTAGTTTTAAGACTATTTAAGACAACATTAAACTTTGGGATCATGTTCCGAATTTGATCGAACGTAACTTGTTTGGTTTTCCAGGATGCCCCAGTAAACACCTCCTACTCCAGTTAGACCAAAGTCCATGTTCATTGTACACACTGCTTCTTTAGAAAGCCCTTCTTTCTACCTTCCTAGATTATGAGCTCCAGTGCAAGTCCCTCCTTTCTTGTAAGAAGCCTGCCTGGATTATTTGAAGCTTCAACAATTACTTCCTTTCTCAATACCTATGTCAATGCACCATTATCCAAATTATAACACTAGGGTGGTTTTTGTTTACCTAGTAAAACTAAGGTTATTGAGAAAATATTGTATTATATAGGTTTTCTGGGTCCTCTAGATAGTTCCTGTTAATGGTACATAAGAAATTCTCAAATATATGCTGGTTGGAGGGGAACCAGTACATGGAGGGGAACAGCGTTGGGGAATTGGGGAAGGGGAACAGACAAGTTCTTTCCTTTTTGTTCTTAAGTCTAGTTGTGGAGGATGTTGTTTCACTGGCCCATGTTGGTATTATCATTGCCCTATTCCCCGGTGAGGCAGTTGCGTGCGGGCCATTGGACCGCCGCTCACGGCGGCTCACTGCAGCTCATGAAAGCGCATGCCAGCTGCCAGCCGGCCCCACTGCAGCTTATGCCGTCGCTGGCGACTCACGGCAGCCCAGCTCCAGGTCGAGCTGTTGTTCACCATCTTAGCTGTAGAGGGTGCAGCATCACTGGCTCTCATGTGGGATCCGAACCGGGGGCACTGCTGCTCAGAGCTGGCATCCCAAACCAACTCTTAACCAGTGTGCCACTGGTTGGTTATTTAAAACATTTGTGCACACCCACCAAATGCAAGATTAAGAAGAAAAAAAAAAGGATTTAAGACAATTCATCTCTCTGTCTCCAGTCTTTCATTATTATCAATAAGGCTGTAACACTTGTTTAGGCCAGAGTTCATCTAAGTTTTTAATGGCATTTCACAAAATTCACCATGAAATACCAACATATTTAATTATATCGCCTTTGCCATCAGGAAAAGGACTTTTATACACAGACAACATAAAAGCACAGCCATTAGCATGTACTGATGGAAAACGCAAGCTGCCAAACGAAACTTCTTGAATATTTCTTTGTGATTTTTTCACCACAGGAGAAAAACCTAAAACTGAGAATATTTTAATCATTAACATTTTTCTGGAAACTGGATAAGAAACCAACTAAATTATTTAATTATAGCGAAGGAAATCCTCAATGCAGCTTGATGAATCATGGGGATGTGGTTTGAGAATTATTACTATTTTAAAATACAGATCTTATCAAGTTATGCCTCAGCTCAAACTTAGTGACTCTTTTCAATGCCTTCAAATAAACTTGAGTGACTCTCTTAGCATGTCATTTAAGACAAAGCATAATTTGCTTTTATACCACCTTCCTTTCTCCTATATTTTTTCATTACGATCTGATGTGCTCCAGCTTTATTAGATTACACTGGTGTCCCAATTTACGAAGAAGTTAGTTTCCAAAGTCACTGCCAAAGGTGAAATATGCCTTTGGCTGAGATTATCCTTGAAAACACCTTAGCAATGCAATGGGAGAGACAGATATCAAGTTTCTCGGTTAATCCAACACCAGCCAGTTTTACCTCCAGTGTCTGAGCAGGCTGACTAAGCAGCAGATAAAGTGCATCAAGTCTCTTTAAACACTAAAGTCGCACTATGTGTAAGAAGAGGTTCTCTCTATAAATATGTATGGGGGAACTGAGCGCAATTTAGAAAAATACAAGATTTACTTCCATCACTCACTCTGGCACGTGCACTCATGAAGAGAAATACTGGGCAAAAGTCACCACTCGCTAAAGTCATTTAAATTAACTTTTCTTGTTCCTCTCCCTCCCTCTGTTTTGGAAGGTGTGGTCCTGAGAGCAACTCCACTGTGTACTCAGCATTTTCATTTCTCTACCATGTTATTCTCTCTGCTTCACATTTCTTCCCCTCGTGAGTACCTGTCCAGAACTAAGTTTTTTATCTCCTAAGAAGTCTCATAAGGAAGGAATGTTAAGTAACATTTACTAAGCATTTACCAATATTAGGGTCTGTGTTAGATGCTATTTGTAAATTATAAGTTATTTAAAAGCAGTGACTATGACAATCTTAAATATAACTTTTCCCTCTACCCTTACCCTCTCTCTCCCCAAGAAAAAAACAGTATCTAAGACATAGCAGGAGCTCCATAAATGTCTTCTGAATGAATATAAAAAAAGAAGACTGTATAGTTATTAGAATTAATTTATAAAAGGAACTTTTTAGCTAAAAAAATTGCAATTGTTCAATGAGGACTGACTGATAACCCTAGGAAACTAAAAACTTGATCATATACTGAAGCTTTATGTCCTCATCCCTATATTTATATATGTAAGGCATTTTACTCATTTCTATGGATAGTATTATATTCTAGTATTTCAGAAAGCCAAACTTTCTTAGATCAAGTACAAGACAGCAATGGAACACAAAATTCTTTGCTTTGGCAAATGTATATATTTTTTATTATGAAAGAACACTGTAATTCTTCCCTCAAACTCTAAATGGCATCATAGCAACAAAAGATTAGCTATGGAGTACTTTATCAGACAACAAAACTGAAGCAGTACAAGAAGTCACTGAAAATTATCAGTGAGTGATATAACAGAAGCACTCATTCTATGGAAATAAATAGAATAACAAAACTAGAACAATTTGGTGATACTTTGTAAAACCCACTTAGAAAGAACCACATGGATGACAGGGTAAATATGAAACAGACATTCTATAAGGGTTTTTGTGAGGAAGAATTATTGTTCACTACAAGCAAATGCCATTAATTTCTCAGATCCTCTACTCTTAGGACTCCAGGCATGTCCCTCTGTGGTCAAAAGATGACTGTGGCAGCTCCATGCATCAACTCCATGAAATTTCACCAAGGCCAAAAAGGAAGTATTATACATCTATTTTAAAAGAGAAGGAACCTTTCCCAGCAGATTTCTCCTTATGGCTGAATCAATACCTACACCAGTCACTAGCAAGGAAAATGAGACTACCAGGATCGTTTTCAGACCCGGCCTTCTGAGCGCTCCCTGAACAAAATCGAGTTCTATAGGAGCTGGCAAGCTATAACCCATGAGTCAGTCCAACCAGCTGACTATTTTGTACTGCCTGCAAGCTAAGAATGGTTTTCTTTTTTTTTTTAAGATTTTACTGGGAAATTGGGGAAGGGAAACGGTGTTGGGGAATTGGGAAGGAGAACAGCCAAGTTGTTGTCCTTCGATCTTAGTTGTAGAGGGCGCAGCTAGCTCAGCTCCAAGTCCAGTCGCCATTCGGCCGCCTGTCGGCAGCTCGCGGCCGCTCAGCTCAAAGTGCCGTGTTCAATCATAGTTGCGGGTGGGCATAGCCCACCATCCCATGCGAGAGTCGAACCAGCAACCTTGTTGTTAGAAGCACGTGCTCTCACCAGCTGAGCCATCCTGCCACCTGTTGGCAGCTCAGTGGCAACTCTGCTTGGGCTCAGCTCACTGGCCCATGTGGGAATCGAACCAGCGACCGTGTTGCTCAGAGCTCACGCTCTTAACCAACTGAGCCACTCGGCCGGCCCTGGTTTTCATTTTTTAATAATTTCAGTTTAAATGGCTATATAATACCTACATAAAATCCTTGATTTGTCTCTTGGCCCATAAAGCCTAAAATATTTGCTATCTGGACTTTTAAGAAAATGCTTGCTGACCTCTGTTCTGAAGCAAGGAAGAAAGGGAAAAATGATTACTGGGTGCAAAATCAACTATCTACTAGAGTCATTATAAATCTTTAAATCGACTCAAAATTGAAAAAAATTAAGGTTCCTAACTTCCTCTTATATTTAACTTTATCAATGCCTTTAATATTCTACCTTTGTGTATTCTTTTATCTATCAGTCATGGCATATAATGAGGGCTTTCTAAGAAGTGGATAACCTCAATCTTTTTCTCCATATATTCTGAAGTGGTTCAAGGCATGGAAGTGCAAAATGTGTAGGCCTTGTAAAGTAAGTGATACATTTGTTTTTAGAGGGCAGCAGTAACTATTTTTTTACATGACTACAGATAATCCCTAGTCCCTAATTTTCTTTAATGGGTAATCTGGAAGGGTTTGCTTTACTGCTCTAATTCAGTTTCACAGTGAAGATGGGCGATATTTTGGAGCTAGTGTAATTTTAGTTCATTGTGGTCCCAGAGAAGTATAGGGAACTCTAGTTGCTTAAAGGAAGTCCTCATAAATTTGGGTTTACTACTCTAATCTCTACCATTCTATAAATTAGACAAATTGCAATTGATAGTAATTCACTGTATTGATGGAAAAATATAGAAGGAGACTAAATGACCTGTGCATGTCAT